CCTCTTCATGTATATAAAGCTCGCTGCCAGCCACTCATTTACAATCAAGCCGCGTTCTCTCTTCACTCGCACGGTTTCAACCATTCAACCCAACAGTATCTAGTATACAATGACACCTCATGCCTCTTCCCTGTGGCCTTTAAATTGTTCCTTTGGTAGTTTCCGGTGATTACGCTTCGTTCAGAAGCCCATTGATTGAGAGGGATGTGAGATAGGCGAGCTCTAGACCTCCATGGTATTTTTGGCCTTGTGGAAACTTCTTTGGCAGTCTTGGTGAGGCTAGAATCTTGTTCGTAGTGCTTTCGATCATCCTGGTTCCTGCTTGTTGCCACATGTCCCATGACAGTACAGCAGACTACCTCTGCGGAAGAGACCGGTGTCTGTTTCGAGAAACTGTGGGCGCGGATGTCATGGAGGCGTAAGGAGAGGAAGTCAATAGTCACAGTGAATGAATGTCCTCCGGAAATCCGAGGCCCGCGTCTGCCCGAGCTGCCAATGCCAAGCACATCATCCAGGATAGATGACTTGATTTCATTCACTTCAACAGGCGGCCCAAGGGTGACTGCCTACACGCGCACAGACCAGGCATGCGTCCATAAAACCCGCGCTCCCCCCTCTTCCTTTCCTCTCATCTCCACCCCACCCACACACCGACCAGCACGCCAACACCCTCCTGGCCCTGGTGTCTTTTTCCCCTTCGTTTCGCGCGATTAGGGGCGCGCCTGCCCCACCCCTTGTCTTTGTCACGTCTCCGGTTGAAGGTTACCCGTAAAACCTTCACCATCGCTCAGATGCACTTGTGTAATGAGCTCAAATCTGCCGTACCGCGGTAGTGCTGCTACGCCGTCTTGAACGGAGTAGCGGTTGCGCCTTTTTTGGTCAAAAACAAGTTCACTCTCCAGGAGTTTTGGTTCGTTCGGGATTTTGCATGGAGGGGTTCTACATCGTGTAGAGCAGGCATATCAGATCTGTCTGCGGGGCCATGCCACGCTGTCAGCTTCGGCTTTCAGCAACCAGGCTACTAGTCATCGACTTGTTGCTTGGAGCCCTTTAGGGCTTCTCCTCTGAGTACTTCGGTGTTCAGTAGGCTCGGAGTCGGGCTTCAACTCTCTCTTGTCTTCCGGAAGTCATGTCTGGAAGGTGTCCCTCCACTCGTGGGCAAGTTCGCTGTCTTCGTTGGGTGTTCCACTCTCGAGCAACGATACTTCAAGGTATAGAGGCTTTTTAACAGCGAAACCTTCGGGTCGAGTTGTTTTTGGTGCCCACCCCTTACGGTGTCTCTAATGGCTACGTTGTGGAGGTGCGGCTCATTCGGGATTGGCACGGAGGGGAATCTACATCATGTAGAGCAGGTATATCATTTACCTGTGAGGCCGTGCCACAAACGCTGCTAGCTCTGCTTCCAGCATGCAGACCACTAGTCGTCGACTTTTGGTATGCGCCGAGACTCTTCGAGTTTTGGCAGCCTTACGAGTTGCTGGGGTTTTTACCTCGGCCGTTCGTCTGCTCAGCTCTGAGACCTTTCTCTACTTTACGGTGCCGTTCTGCTCTTGTGATGAGCGGCGTTTTGTGGGATTTGCATTGGAGGGGATCTACCTTTGAGTAGAGCAGACTTCTGTCTGTGGGGCCAATGCACACGACACTTCAGTTTGAGCTGCGAGCTCTGTCAGCTTCAGATCTGGCTGCTCAAAGCCTCACTGAGCCTTTTCAGCTAAGTTCAACCGCCCCGACAATGGTTGTCGTTGAGCTAATGCTTCTTGACTAACACTTTACAGATCCAGACACATCCCGTGACGACCGACATCGAGACAGTGACGGACTTCACGGCCATCAACACACCATCCACACTGACGGCACTTCCCACGAACCGTTCTGAGGACCATCTGCAAGTCGACTTCACCAGCTTAGCACCATGCCCACTTGGCCGGTTGAGAGGTTTGGGAGGATGGTTGTTGGATACTGGAAAGTCAGTAAGGTGTCGGGCTTCATGGCAGCTGACTTCGACAGGCCGGGGTTCATTGGAGGAACGCAGGAAGCTGGGCGCACTTGTAGTGACGGCGGGACAGCGTGATGTTGGGACGGGCAGCGGGCTTTGGTCTTTCCCGGAAGTGGTTCCATGTCTTCCGAACTTTCGCGAAGAAGCTATGGTAATTTGGTCAGGAACACGTGCTTTGTTGACTTTGAATGCAGAGATCAGTTTGGCTACGGCACAGAAAGAATACGCATTGTTGTCGCACAATCAGCGCGTGTACTTTACCGCAGACAAAGGAGCATGACGCGCCTTTGTCCGGATTGGAATCAGGTCGCTGGCAAGCTTGAGAATCTTCCGGGGTGTTTCCTCAGTCTCTTTGTCTTGTCTTCTGGTATCTTCAGCCGTTGTACCGTCACTGAAGCCTTATCTGAGCTCCGCAGAGCTCTTCACTAAACGAAAGCCGTTAACCCTACGGCGCTGGCCATGCGACAATGCGGCCAAAGCCTTGTTACCTTTGGACAACGGGGTGTGACGTACCTATGACAATCGCGAATCGCGAGGCCGCGCCTTCCTGTCTGGATCCTTTATTGCGACGCGCATCCGGAGCTGGAGAAGACAGTGTAGGCAGCTTCGCAAACTGTTTGGACAAGGCACCAGACATGAATGGATACAAGGCTCTTAGAAAACAATGTTCCTGGTATTCTGTGGAAGCGGCATCATGTCAAGAGACTTATAAGCTGATCCTTGCATGTACTTCAGTCACACCTCACCTCCGCTTCCAGCAGACCCTGTTCCCTTCCGCCAGTGCATCCCTAGAGCTGCGATACGTAACAGTGTTTATCTTCTACGGACTTGAATCCTTCCCCGCTGAGTGCAGCGCCAATCGAGCCAGTCGTGGTTTTGTCCTCAGAATTGTCGTTATAAATTTGGGGGTAGTCCCATTAACTGATTAAGCGCCTTCTCCCCTACTGTGGCCCTGTCCTCCGCTTGTGTGGCCCTGTACTCCGCTAGTGTGACCATGGCCTCTACTGTTTTGAGCTTTTCCTTCATGTCTGCTAGTTCACTGGCCAGCGCGTCGTACTCCTCGCGAGTTACTGAGCTGTCGACGTCGTCTTGCTGCTGCAGACTTGCGAGCTTCGTTCTGTGCGAGCAGGGCTCCCTATGATAGCGACAAGAAGCGCAAACGGCAGTATTGTGAGCCGTATCCCGGTACACCCAGCACTTGACATTCCGCTCTTCGCATTTACTGCACGGATCGTCGGTCTGGTAGCCCTACTCTGTCTCCATGATCCTGCGCATGTGGTTGAATTGGCGCTTCTTTCCGCCGCTTGCCTCGTCCCATTTTTCTTGCGTGATGCTCCAGTATTTGCCAACTTTTTCCGGGCGCCGGGGGTCGGCATTGCGGCTGGTTTTGTTGGGAGTGGCTTCCTTCCTGTGTGTGTCTTTGTTGAGGGTGAGCGCGTGTCTGGCGGTTTGTACCAAAGCTCCGTTGTCCGGCTCAGAGTTGGTCTTCGTGAGCGGCTTCGGGTCTCTCGGTGGCACCTCGCCGGAACCGAGATCTATGTGGCTTTCAACTTCTTCGTGGACACTGGTTTGGTAAGGTGTTAGCTGCTGCATGGTTGTGTCGACGGAGAAGAACTTACGGCCTCGCGCTGGGGAAGCTGGTGTTGAAAGATGGACTAGTAGAGCGCGGCCGCTGCCGCGGGGATGTCGGAGGTATGTCTTCATCGAAAGTGAAGCTTTTTTTGCTGGTGCGTGAGCCGCCCATGTTGCGTTGCGGAAGAATGCCCGGGTTCTGAATGAGTGTCTAGCAGAGTAAGATCGTAGATATGGATTGTCTGCAAGATGCGTCCGCGTTGACAAAGAAATGTCTGTTTGCTTGAATGTGTTGTTGGGGCGTTGGAGCACGTTCCCTTGTGCGTCTTGTCTGATGAAGTGGAATGGATGGGGAAGGTGCGAATCGTATGGAAGGATGAGAGCAGCTTCAGCACGTGTTATTTGCTTCGTCACGAGCATGAAAATGAACTTTCCACCTATGTCAACCGTCAACGTCTGTCACCGTCAAGTGAGATTTATCGTCAATTGAGACAAAGAAAGATGCAAACAATCCCTTTGGAATATTTCTTACCTAGCGACGAACTCAAGTTCTAAACGTAAGCAAAAAGGCACACATAATATAATATCTTAGCTAGATTTCTTCTTTTTCTACTCTGCATATGAGTGACTATCTCTCAAGACAGTGAATCTCGTTAAACCGTAAATGACGTTAAAGATGAGGAACCTGGTATGTGGATCGGAAAAACCTCTCCGAAATTGTATCACCGCTAAATAGAGCCGCTCTATAAGAAAAGATGGGTAATCTGCATCTATCTTATTAAGGACGTGAGTGGGCATTAATGGCGAGAATCTCTAAATAGTTTAATATCTACAAGGCTTTCAAAACTGTATGTATGTCAAAGCCAGCCCGGCCAACCATCGACCTTCGCTTTCCAATCCGCAGTATCTTGTAAGACTCTATCACATAAATACGTCTTCGCCTTATATTCAATTGTTTTCCCTCCGAATGAGGACGCCCGGCATTTCTGTCCTGACTCTTTGTTTTATCTTGAAGTCTTCTTTTCCTTTCTTTAGCAAGCCCTCCCGATCTACCAAGGCCTTCATGAAGTGCCTGCGTGCTGTATTGGCATTAATTGATACTCAGAAGTAGTTCGAGAAATGGATTACATACCCACGCTGCCAAGGTCTTTGCGCTCCAAGCTCCCTCTTCCCATAATCCTTAAAGACGCACAACTTTATTGCTATCACCTCGTCCTGCGTTATCAATTCTGTTGATTTTCTCTTCAAATTCCCTCTCCCACAGGAAAAGCCAGATGAACTCGTCGGAACCCCCAGGGCTGGGGTACATATCGGCTTGCAAAAAAAAAGTCTAGGATACTGAAGTTTTTATTGCCAGTTTAGTCATATCGATCAGCTCGTCTTCGGGCACCACCAATCCAATCTCATCCTCGAACACTCTATAAATCCTACTTTATCTACCGAGATCCCATTCTGTAAGCTGATCCATTGGGCGTCCCTTGACAAGGTGGAAAAAATCGTTGAAAACGCGGTATAAATACAGTTTATAATGCCCGATATAAACATCGTCAAATTCATTGGTATTGTCATACTCCGGATCAATTGCCCAAACAAAAGCATTAAGCCAAGCTTCATTGTCATTGATAGCAGCTTGAATGGAAGCGAGAGATGTTTGATCAATCAGAACGCTATCACCGATCATATTGTAGGTGCGCGGATTCATCTGAGTAAACTTTTCGAAGGGTCTTACTATAAATTAGTAACATATATAAAGACCTTAAGGAACAGATTCTTACTCTCGAATGAATTCAACGCCCATCCTCTCTAGCGCGTCCTTGCTCTCTACCCATTGTAGCCAGACGCCATCTATAGCAGACTTTGGCCAGTTTGGAAAACCATGATTCTCATCTGGCTTGTATCCTGCAAGGTGATTGGTTGTGCAGCGTAAAATAGTAGACTTCGCAGCATCCCATTCCCGATCTCTGATACTATAGACTGTGCGGTAAATTATGTAGCCGAACTTTTATTCTCGGTACACTGTTGCAGCCAACGGGAGTTATGCTGCTCTATCTCGCTGGGCAAGCATGTGCCGGACTTGTCGGTTAAGGTCCTGTTGTAGACGCTTTTGGGTTGCGCAAGTTGACGTAGGGAAGGTGGTAGGAGGGGACGGCTCTGAACGATGGGCTTAATTCGATAGAGTGGACGGGAAAGTAACATTGCGCAAAGAAAAGTAAGTAGCGAGTGAGTGTGGTGGAAGAAAGCGGATTTTAAAGAGACTTGGAAAGAAAGATGCTAGGTAGAGTGACGCCGGCAACTCCTACGCTAAGTTAGCCCAGCTCCTACAGAATCCATCACGATGCCTAAGGTATGCAGCGGGCCGAAATATTGCAATATTCGTGTCGTCGATAGTAGACCAGTGATCCTCTATGCCTGCTACCCGCTCGCGCTGACATATGTCTCGTAATATGCAAACGAATATTAACCTCTAAATGACCGTCCGCAATAGCGATCGATGTGGTTTATCGGCCCCTTTTGCCACATGGCCGAATCGCGGGTAATCTCCGCCCTGCTAAGGCCGAGCACTATTCTGCAAGATAGGCGACATGATCAATTCGTCTTACGCCGGAGATGAAGAGAAAAGGCCTTAAAGGAATCTTTATCTCGACAGTCCTCCCCGTGATACCGATATTTTCGGTCCTGATGGCCAGGCATACTGAACGATGCATACGATACGAATCATCTGAGTGGAAGGAGTTATCGGCTTTTCTGTTTCATTCGGTCCAGAAGGTATGTTGAGTTGTTTGCTTCAAATTTCTTTGACTGATATTCATTGTGTCCTGTGCCTTCACTGTTTCCCTGAGAGACTCAAACTTATTCCTTTCGAGGGTAACGGTATCGTCGGAAGGGTGACGGTGACCTACTTTTGCTGTGTGCGCATTGCAGTTGCAGATGAATATTGCTGCGTGATGGTATCATCATGTTCTTGGCCCCTTTTTATCTTTGCTGTCTGGCCCGAGGCAGTAGTCATGTGAGCACGTGCGGCGGCGGATTGGTCGACGCGGTCTTCTTTGTCGATGTGCAAGAGCAGTTCGGTAAACAGCGTGAAAGTAAATAAGAAGCAGCCATCTTCGCTATTAAGGGAGGTGGTTCCCAGACAGTGTAGGAGGATGTTGAGAGTTCATGAGTAGAGGTTTAGGTATTGGGTTGAAGACGAAGTGTATGTAATGTAAGGAGATATCCCCAAATGGCGAAGGCTCGCCGCTCGCATGAGATGCCGAGGAAAGTGATGTGCATGTCAGGCGAGGAAGGATGATATCTGGACGCGGAGGATGTGGCCCGGCGGGCTGGGAAGAAAGAATAGGCGGCGGAAAGGGAGGCGGACACAGGGTGCTCTAACATGGGGCTGGGAGATGAACAAAGAGAGGAGCAGATCTGCCTTGAAGAAAGCCAGAGGTATTAACGAAGGAGATATTGCAGTTGACGGGGCGCTGTCATTGGGCACGCGACGGAAGGTCAGGGCCGTCAGGCGCGTCGAAGCTCAAGGGAAGAGGCTGAGGCGGAGGCGGAGCCTTGGGGGTGAAAGTTGCTTAATCTGTCCCTCCAGCGCGCTCGATTTGCGAAGCTCTACAGACAAGTATGGCGTGCTGGGTCGATCTGGGAATCGTGCTTGTTTGAAGGTGACAATGCGGCGGGGGATTTTTCTTCAAAGCGTAGGACCAAGGCTGTGTTGTGTGAACGAGGGGACTTAGGGATTGTGCGCGTCACGATTTATGGCTGGCTGTGAGCTGTGAGGATGACGTACGATCTAAAAGGCGGGATAGAAGAGCGCAGGGACTTGTCTTTTGAATACGGCTGTGCTGCGTGTATCTGCCTGCGGTAAGTAGGTGTGTTGTATTTGATTGAGTGACCCTCATCAGCTGCAAGGGACATCTCGAGGTCCGCCCGTGCATCTTGAAGTAGAAGTTGAGAAACTGATTGGCAAACGTGGGAGACAAAAAGACCATTTCCGACTGTGAAGGGCAAATCGGGGGCATGGTGGAGTGGAGTGGAGGGTGGCCGGCGGTCCAAGGTGCACCACCAGCAAGCGTCGGCTTCCATATTTGGTTTAGCCTTGTCCTTGGATGGCTTAGTGCAGCTTAGCCGACGCTGCCGCCCACTATTTGTAGCCGCGCATCGCTGCTTCCTACTCAAACAACAACATTGTTTCACACCGACTAACCTCAACCACCCTGCTGTCTCAAAGCAACTCACTTTCCGATATCCCTTGATCGAACAACCCGCTTCGAAACCATGGGGCTACTGGAGCTCCCGCCGGAGCTTTTCCTATCCATCATCGAGTTCGCCGTACATGAGCTGGGTGTGTGTGCGTCGATGAGGACGCGCCTTGTCTGTCGTAAGTTCCCGTATGGTACCCTTCTGCATACGCTTTACTAATGTCAAATAGGTGTTTTTGCAGCTGAAATCCCGGAAGCTCTTCACAGGACCAGAGTCATTGAAGAGGCTGTACCTTTCTATTACGCGTCGAAAATCCCGGAAGTCGTACAAAGGTACCGGTCCGGTAAATACTACAACTCTTGGAATTACCAGTTGAGTGATAAGCCCATACCGTACGGGTACAAGTCAATTCGAGATATCCTACCACAAATGCTCCTCATCAAACATCATCCTGAGGTTCTCGCTCGGTACTTTCTATATCGAGTCCGCACCGATCGACGAGGCAACATTCATCCCATTGTTGAAACAATTCGTCAGACCGTAAAGGAGATTGCACGATATTACGAGCTGGACTTGAATCAAGAACCAGAGAAGGCAGCGACGCTATATCAAGCTGCGTGCTCGTGCCTTGCCTTATACAGAAATCAAGGGGTACTTTTGGCATTCAGAGGATTTCCTGAAACGGGAAAAGAAGAAGAAGATGAGGAAGAAGACGGAGCAGGAGAGAAAAAAGGAATCTTTGATGATTTCAGAAATGCTGTACCTGGTAATTGCCTCACGGTGGCAGCATGGCTGGGCGATATGGATCTGATAAAAGAAATCGAACTCGACGCATACAACAACCCCGGTGATAGCACCAACGATCCCTCACTTTTCGGAAGACCGTTGTGGGCCGCAGCCGCACAGGGACACCTGGAAGTTGTAAATCATTTTCTCGATCGTGGCGACAGAGATTATGGGGTGGTCCATGCAAGAAGTGGATGGGACATCTTCTTTGGAATCGACAAGTTAGCGGTAGGTGTGGCAGCCTACATGGGTCGAGGATCTGTTGTTCAGGCACTACAACAAGCTCAGACTCTACGACAAGAAGAATATCTCCAGCACCACAGCTTTTGGCAACTGAAAGACCATGAAGAACGTGCTATTGTCTGTGCGGTTCAAGGCAATCAACCGGAACTCCTTTCGCTCTTGCTAGACCGCTACAAAGAAGGGCCATGGCATTCCGAGTATCCCGGATGGGAGTTCACATGTTCTCTGACTAGCTTCTGTCTCGTAATATCATGCAAGTTAGGACTGCACAGACCGGCATCAGTCCTTTTACAGCACAATGCAAACACACTGGACACAGACTTTACGCCTTTGTCATTTCTAGAGCTGGCAGCTATCTCAGGGAATGCTACCCTGGTAAAGATTCTACTCGACGCCGGCGCAGGACTCGAACCTGCGAAAACGACACGTGGTTTTACTCTCAAGTGGCAACGGGATATAAGTTTTTCACGGAGGAAAAGAAAAAGCGCTCTAGCAGAAGCGCGTTACAGAGGTCATCGGGAAGTCGAAAGATTGATCGTGGAGAAGATGGACGAACTACAATTGGAAACAATGACGTGTCTGGCCACGTTATTCAACGACGCTTGAGTGCTCATGGTAGGGGCTCGCAGCTACCATGCACCATGCACATTCATCCGGTTGGAAGATTGCGGTGGACGATACAGAAAGTCAGTGAAGCCATTGGAGGCTTCTGGACAACTGGGCTCAACAAAGCAAAGGGCCTTGGGGGTATATAAAGGATTGAGCGCGTCTGAAGTCACGGCGCGGCGGTTAGGGTGGTTTGTTTCTGGAATCAGTTCTTGGTTTTTGGCTTTACGGTGGTAATTGGTTCGGAGATTTCTTTGCAAGGGTCGAATGGGAGCGGCTTGACCGGGGCGGTTAATGGTGGATGAAGGCAGAGAGTAATGGATGGAAACAGAGGACAATGAATACACATTTTGACATCTGCAAGCTCGAGATTTATGCGCTGACTCTTTCTCAGGCGCGCAGTACGTCAAGGCGACCAACGGGCAGTCTCTTTCACCGCCGCCGCAGCGCCTACTTCTCTCATCCGCATCATCTCCTTGAAGCACCCAAGCCAGTCCTGCACTCCCCGGCCCCGATTTTACGGTCACTTACACCGCTTTCCCGCTCAAGTCCGTCCGCAATGAGGACTTCGTCCCCGGCTCTCGCCTACAGCCTCTGCCGCGCAACCGGCTGCGCCCTCCCGCCAAGCAGACGGCGCCTTCCCGCCCAGACTTGGCGTACGTGCGCCCTCGCGGACGACGTAGGTGTCTTGGGTCTGGAGATCGCGGCCAGGAGGATCGGGTCGACTGAGGTTCTACCTGCGCCATCCGACGGCTCGGATAATACACTGCGACATACTGGTCGGTACTGCAGGGCCCAGTGCTTGGATAGACAACAGTCGATTAATAGCCTCGAGAAGAACCATAAAGCAAACACAATACTCGTCATCTAAAAGCAGTCAAGGACCTTCTTTCCCATATGTTTCGAGGTTACTCATAGTTACAGCAGCATAAACCAGACCAACGCAGTCTACGGTTTCCATCTGAAGGCCGGATGCCGCCAATCAAGATCCTCTACTGTCCCCTCATCCAGCTTCGCAAGCTCAGCATGGATATCCAGTTTCTCCCTCCGCTTGTTGTCCGCCGTCATCCACAGCAGCAAAAGAATGGCAATAACAAGCATCAAGCTTGACGTCGCCAGATTCAACCCATTGCCAATATGGTAGTTCGGGCCATCGGACGGTAAGAATGACCAAGTCGAGATAAGCCCGCCGACATTGCCGAGCATAACGTTTGTGCCAATGGCAGAAGAGCGCGCCGTGTCCGTAACCACGTTTGCCGAGACCTGGGCATTGCAGAGCGCACCGAAGGGGAACGCGCCGGACGCTATGAGAAAAGTGGCGCCGTACCGGACCTGAGGGTTTGTTGATGCCAAGAACATGATGTATCCGATCATCATCAGCGGCGCGGAGGCAATGAACAAAATGTTGCGGCGGTCGAGTCTCCAGGAGACGAAAGGGAGGAAGAGCGTGAAGAATGCGCCTACGATGTACGGCGGGACCGTGTGCAGCTGCTGGGAGATCACTGAATCGTGCGGGTAGATGGTCCGGACGATAGTTGGCAGGAAGAAAGCCAGGCCCTGAACGGTGATGTTGTTGAGCAAGAATATGAAGGCCGTAGAGATGGTGACGGGGCTGAATATGCCGCGGAGCAGCTTCTTCGAGTCCAGACGGTCCAGTACCTCGGTTGTGCCGACGCGTTCGGACTTCACGCGCGCTATCGCCAGGTCTTTCTCTTGCTGAGTAAGCCATCTCGCTGTTTCTGGACGGTCGGCCATAGTTATGAAGGAGATCAGGGCCAAGCCGCAGGTGATGATGCCTTCGATAGCGAAGATCATGCGCCATCTGTGAAGAGAGCCGAAGTGAGGCAGTTTGAGGATTGCCGATGCTAAAAGACCCCCAAAAGCGCCAGCTAGAGGAGCCATAACCACGTACTTGTTTAAAGTCAGTGCAAGTATATTTATTATTCTGCTGTGGATTCCCTACCAAAGCCAACCGGAAGGCAAGTTCACTGCGCCTATACCACCGACTCAGGTAGTAGGCGATCCCTGGCAACATTCCGGCTTCGAAGAGACCTGTGGATACACGTCAGTCATGGTCAATATGAAAAGGATGGCCACTGACCGAGCAAAAACCGGACACCAGAGGCGCTATGAATGTCGTGTACAAAAGCGGTGCAAATAGAACATATTCCGAAGCCCAACGACAGCATCGGGATAAACCTGAGGACGTCAGTGAGGTAGGATAGTGAGGGACCAAGGGGGACACACCATCCGGGACCAATCCACTTGCAGGCCATATTTGACGGGATCTCGAAGACGATGTATGAGATGTAAAAAATCGACAGGACCTTATTATAATCGTAACCTTGGAGGGCTAAATCTTTTTCAAGTCCAGCCAGCTTTGCGTTGCCTGAAGCGATGTTAGCCTGAGTGCACACATCCGACAATCAAAGTCCATCACCTGGAAGACTCACCGATGTTGGCGCGGTCGATGAAGCAAAACAAATACAGAAGCGCTACGGTAGGGACGACGTTCAGATCGATTTTGAGACGAAGCCTCGCCTCGGCAGCACGGTCGAAATCTACGAGCGCATTGCCGTACTGGTCGGTGGCGATGTGCCCGCGCTCGGCAGCGTCATGAGCTACTTCTAGCTGTGTCACTTCGTTCTTGATGTCAGACATTGCGGTAGCAGTCCGGGAGGACTTTTGAGATTGAGCAAGGCAAGAGCTGCATGAAGACGAAAATGGGGGAGGGTGAATTTTATTGCGAAGGCTGAGGATTGTGGCTGCTTTTTCCATCAGCTACTGCACTTGGCGGTCCTTGGCGATCCCACATCCGAGGCGGAAGCGGGGTGGTGGGGTACATGACGGCGGGGAAGAATGACGGAGGGGAAGATGTTGGTTGATCTTGTATGTATCCAGCAATGCTCTGAGCTTGATAAAGACCCGGCATCAGGTTTTGAAGGAGAGTCGCAAGAAATGATGCAGGACTGCAGGACGTCGAATGAGAGATGGAGTGGGGGCGCGGAATGAAACGAACCCCGGATCTCAGCGATACTCTGCGCTAAGCCCGATTTAACCTAACTAGCCCAAAGGACGCCACCCGCCAACCAGGTTCCGCATCTGCATGTCAAAGATGACCGCAGCGGCAGCGACCCACTCTGTCGAAATTGGCATCGTCAACTCTCTGAGTCAAAGTTCCGACGATTAAGGCTTTGGCGGACGAAGACGACGAAGTTATCTCAGGCTTTATGATGACGGAATCCACTCCGATCTCATGAATGCGGGATTGTACCGTTTCGCGGAATGATTCCGAAGCGAGTATAACAGTCTCAAGTCTCTATTGAAGGCACTTTTCCAAAGATAAGATTTTGTCCTTAATCGGCAACATGTTGTTTGCGCACCTGTGGATGAAGTTCTTCACATGGAGCTAAAGGTTTCGTCTTCACAGTACTTCTCCTCTCTCTCATACCTATGATACTTACGCAGTCTGAAGTAGTTCTTGTCCGGTTGGAGACCCATACCTACGGAAAGCCTTCGCGTCTCGGCGACTACACAGCGAAGCATGTCATGGCCAAGCATCATACCTTCCACCGATGTCTACCGTTGGGTTTTCCGTCTGGGTTTTGTATCTGTCCAGTCAGCACAGTTTCGAATTATGGCACGTACAGATCTTACTCGGATTTAAAACTCACACAGTAAGCAGCTTTTCCTTTTCCGCAAACCGGCGCCAACCAGCGTATCGGTATCGGCATCCCGGAACGATCAGTAAGAACCTAAAATGCAAGCGAGCATCACAAGATCACTTCAGCGCACTACCAAACCCCAGCCAACCATCCTCCACCACGTCCGCCTTTCATCCATCCACCAACAACATTAATCCAACATCCAACTTCCCCGCAAAAAGCCGGCCCTCCGGAGAAACCTTGCATCAACGGAGCTTCGGGGGACAGCGACACAGGAGGCACCGCCACACACCGTCAAGGCCGTAATAATTTAGCCGCACATCAACCGCTACATAAACCCGAACGGCCTTAACGCGGGCAGCAGCTCCACCGTAGCGCCACCGGTTGACTTGCCCCCCAGAAGCAGATTAGCTCCGGTACCGGTTCCGGTTGTACGGGTCCGTAGACAGATATCCCCGGGAGGCACGGAGCCCAATCACATTACGACATCTGCTTTGTCTCTGACCGGCCCCTTGAGACCAGGTGTCCGAACGACAAGGCTCCGGAAAAGCCTTTCTACCAGTGCAGGACCCCTGATGACCGCAGTAGAGCTACTTAAGCATTTCACATCCGTTCCAAACGATTTCCACAACAAACCTCAAACCGACAAGCAGAAGCCAATCAACAAAATGGCCGCAACAGAAAAGAACATGGAGCTGGTGCGGAAGGCATGGAAGTTGGAGAACGTTCCATGGTGTGAGCAGTACGAGAGGATGATTTCTGGCATGCTGTAAGGCGCCCTCCCTCCCGCGTCAACTCCATGACCAGCCGCTAACGCCAGATCCCAGCTACGATGCCTTTGTCCCCGAACTCAACGCCGCCCGCTTCAAGGCTCGCCGCTGGAGCCACAAATACAACAACTACTTCCCGCAAGAGCTTGAAGCGGACTTCGACACCCTGCAGAAATCCCGGATGGAGATGCTCAAGGAGATCATAGGCCACATCGAGGGCGACGAGGTATACATAGAGGCCCCATTTGAGATAGACTACGGCTGTAATATTTCGTTTGGCGACCGCTTCTACGCCAATTTCGGGCTTACAATCCTCGACTGCGGCCTCGTCAGCATAGGCGATCGAGTCATGTTTGGCCCCAAAGTCTCAATCTACGCCGCCACGCACGAGACGGAGGTCCAGAGCCGTCGAGACAACGTCGAGTACGCCAAGCCCGTTGAAATTGGCGATGATTGCTGGATCGGAGGGTCCGTCGTCATCCTTCCGGGCGTGAAAATCGGAAAAGGATGCACTATTGCGGCTGGTGCTGTTGTGACTAAGGATATACCGGCGTGGAGCGTAGCTGTGGGTAGCCCAGCACGGGTGATCAAAAAGGTTACTCCATTGGAGGAGGCGGAAAAGAAAATGTCCGAGGTGAATATCTCCTAAGCGATAGACAGGATAGAAGTACAAAGCGTCGACCACTATAGCATCAAACAATCTGATTTTGTGACCAGGAAGAAGCGAACACAGGAATGGACGAGAAATTCATGCTGGATCTGGACCAAGTAGAACGCGCTTTATAAAGTTGTTTGGGAAAAGACAGAGTATAAAATATAGACAAGCTCATGATTGTAACGTTCATCACCGTGAAGCGAGACGGTGATGCTTATACGGTGTGGGAGAAGATATACAGTTAAGATATGTACAGTTTGTATGTGCTCTGGGACCTTTTCACCCATACCCAGGACTCGAGCTGGGAGCTAGGCAAGGAGCACTCTGTAGGGACTGCTTGTATCGTCCCCTGTCTCGCTAGATGATGGATCTCGGTACCCATCTACTGTCTCAGCTGCGTAGATCGCACGTTTTGGTACGGAGGTGGATTTTCAGAAGCTGGGTCAACTCCAATCAGTACCGCAAACGGCAAGGCATTGGTCCGAGGCCGCGGTGTCCCATCATGAGCTCGTTTTGACCTATGGAGATTAGATTTTTGCTATCCAAAGGTGAGTAATCACTAACAGGCGCCTACTTAGCCGTATGGAGCTTTCCGAAAGCCCCCCTCGAATGCGATACGGCAGAGTCCATCTTCTTCCGGCAAAACTGGAGCACGCCAGCCCCAGACCTCTCAACGTCGGTGCCGTCGTCTTTTTTATCTTTGTTGCGCGGAAGAAGCAGCCAGACGACGAACAGGGCGCCGAGAAGGCCGACAATGGCAGGCTGTAAAACAGACACCCCTTTTGCTTGAGCTAACGCTCCAACTGCGAAGGGAAAGATGGCGGCGCCCCCTCCACCCAGTGCCGCTGCAAAGCCGACCGCGGAGACATGCATATTGGCGGGGAGCAGCTTCGTCGTGACGACGACAACGGCGGGGAATAATGGACCTATGAACTATCAGAATCAATCTATCCAGAATCGGCAAACAGGAGGTGAGAACTGACCTAGGAAAAATCCTTCAAAAGCGACGGCCGTGGCACTGACAGCAAACTTCGGAACAAGCCAGAACAGAAGTTGAAAGCCGAGGGCAGCTGCAACATAAACCTGTGCTTATTGTTAGAAAGGGGAGGATCTGGACAGAAATGGGACTTACGGAAACAGCCAGTTTTTCACCCACTCGGGGGGTTATAAAGCCCAGCACCATGCGTCCAACCGTTATTCCAATCCAGAAGCCAGTCGCGACTATGCCAGACTCAAAAGCCTTGCCACCGCGTTCGCTGGTCATGAATTTTACGACCCATCCTCCGAGAGAAACCTCAACCCCGACATACCCCAGCAAAAATATGGCAGCGATCCAAGTAGTTTTGAAGGACAAAGCTGTCTTCAGAGAGCCTTTGTTGCTTGATGCTGCTTGGGAGGACCGATATTTGGCTCCGGTAGCGCTCCAAAAGCTCGAGAGCAACACGCCGAACTCGATGACGGCTCCACCTATCTAATATACGCGTCAGCAAGATGTCAACACTGAAAAGGCGTGACCAACCATGAAATAGTAAAATGTCCACCAATCCCACCCTGCCTTGGTCACCAGACTCGTAGCAATGAGCGGAGAAAGCACAGCCCCGACGCCGTACGTGCCATGCAGCATCCCTAACAATTCATTGGAGTTTGTCAGTCCGCCCACCCAGACGTTCCACGCCGCATCCTCTATGCCGTTTCCGAATCCGGCGATGAGGAAGAAGACGATAAGCGCCGGATACTTTGGATGCTGGGAAATCCCGACGAAAGCAATTATCTAAGCTCCTGTTAGTATGCTCTTATAATAGGCTCGGAGAGATAAAGTACATGGCATAATGGGCCAATAAAAGCAACGCCACGCTGTCCTAGGCGCATGTGGATGACGTTGTTGAGAAAAGCGGCAGCAGCGTAGCCGCCCAATGGGGAGAAAAAGACAAGCGATACAACGAGATATGACAAGTCGTAGTACTCTTCAAGCTGTAACTGATATCAGTAGTTGTCAATCACTAGTCGATTACCAGACGTACATATGGAATTATAGCCTATTCATGATTAGCACAACTCCGGAGACAAGAATCAAGGAATGAATCATACACCATAGGCAGCATCGTTGCCGCCCATCACCAAGAAGCCCCAGGCTGTGGCTCCAAGACGAAAGATGTTTGTCCATGAGCTGTTCCATTTCTCTATTGCCGTGACTGCCGTCTCAGGAGGTGAGTTGTTTTGGAACTGAACTTCATCCCGACGCTCATTAGGAAGCTCCTGAAGCTCGAGACTAGAGGAGGTCATGTCTCCGGTGATAAGGATTGCGCGGAGAGAAAAAGATGCCAGATGCAAGTGGCAGCCCGACAGTATTTGATAGCTGTTGCAGCTATACAAACGCGGGAGACGCCGTCCGCATGACGTTGTGATTGATTATGTAACCACTTAATCTAACCGCATCCGGCCTCACTCTCAGCCACCAACCCCATCAGTAACCACTCCCAGCCCACCAACCACCTTCAAATCGCTCATTTTCTGCCAATATTTACCGCCACTCGCCAGCCCCGTCCCCGGAGAATCGTCAAACTACTCATCCACCCGTGCCACCGTCGGGGAAACACGCTCACTCCGCTGCCCGCACCTCGGCCCACGCCTGATCTTTCGGCTCTGTGGGGAAGCATCACGTGAGATCGTTCCCTTCTCTTCCGAAAAAACCAAGAATCGTTAGTAATAGGAAACTGGCTTCGGGGACTGGGCGTGGACTACGTAGACGTCAACGACCCCAATATCCCGATACCGACGCGAGGTCAGAGCGTAATACCCAATGCCTAACCCTGTACCTACAAAAAAAGCCTGCGACCAGTGTCGACTTCGCAAAACTAAGGTGACAGCGATGGCTTGAAGGGTTGCTATAAGCATCATTGCTGACGCTATAGCCTATAGTGTGATCTTTCCCAACCCTGTTCAAGTTGTAGTGCAAGGAACTTTCAATGTACTTATGCTACCCCGCATCGGAAGAGAGGCCCTGCCCGCAGGTACGGACTCCTGAACCAATCATCAAATTAGCAAGAAGCTTACATGCCCAAAGGTCAGAGGCCCGGCACCAGCCAAGCAGTGTTGACAGCACCGTGAGAACACCAACTACAGCAACCCCCCCAGACTCGAGCAATCACACCCAGCCTCCTGTCGACCTCGAAATCCCCGACCAGCAGCCTTCATGGGACTTGTTTGGCTCCCTGCCCGCCGCAGCATGGAACTCCAGCGAGGCAGACTTTTTCATGCCCCCAGTGCAAGCATCAACGTCGTTGGAACGCCCGACCAGCGCTGCTCTAGGCGATCCTCTGTTAAATCTACTTCCCGAGCAACCGGATCCGGCAGCTAGGTCAATTGTGCACCCACAGCCACTACAAACCGTTGTGCAAGCCACTTTTTGGCCTCCGAATGTGGACGAAGAACGCCTCATACGATGGATAGACGTCTACTTTGACCGCCTATTTCCGACGCTACCAATCCTGAGGCGTGCGACAGTCTTCTCTCGATTGCTTTCACAACATCACCGGACAGTTCCACATTTTGGGGCAATGCTTTTAGCTCTGGGCTCCTTCTCTCTGATCCAGCCTGTCCGCATCAGAGAATGGCCTTCGGCATCGTCTCGCGAGGCCATGATTAACATGATGCTTTCCGAGTCAGTCAAGATGCGTGCTTCTGTGGATTTCGGCGAGACCCCATCCTTCGACGCTCTCCTAACGAGTATATTTCTCTTCGCTTGCCTGTTTCAAAGGAATCAGCACAACGCTGCTTGGCTGCGGTTGCGAGAAGCGGCTGAACTCGGCTGCCTATTAGGACTTGACCGAATTGAGAGCTATAACGCGTGCAGGCCGGAAGACCGTCAACAACGACTCAGGATTTATTACTTACTATCTGTTACTGAAAGAGCATATGCCTTGGAACGAAGACACCCCATTACTTTTCTCGGTCATCCTGGCGCGGAAACGCAAATGCTGCTGCGATCCGTCACGTCTGTCACCGCTGATAACAACATGGACATCGTAATAGACGACGATGCCGAATCGGCTGGAACCCTCGGCTTAGTCGAGCTCATGACATTGTTTGATCCTATTAACGAGGATTTCCTACGGTGCTTCAACGGGCAATGCGGACTTGGGCGGCAAGGCTGTCAGTATTTCGACCAAAACACGGCTATAAGCATATACCAGAGCATCAACGACCATCAACGCCATATGTCATCGTACGAGGTGTCTACACCTGGTCAAGCCTCAGATACAGCAGCATCATTGGATTGGCGTGCAGAAATATCGCTGAAAGAGTCTCAAAAGGCGGATCTCAAGGTCAACGAACTATGGCTTATGAACCGGCTGTGGTGTGTTTGTCTATCGCATAAAGTTTTGACGCTGCAGGCGGAGCATCCTGCCCTTCGCATTGACCATAGCATCTCCATATTTGAGGCGGCTCTTCGACTATGTCAGACGCTTCCTCTCTCCTCGCTTGAAGTACACGGAGTTGGTCTAGTAAGTGAAGCCTTAAACACTGTACGATCCTCCACTAATCCCTACCAGATTGAAAAGTTATACTGTATTTGCGAGAGCGCAGTAGCAACCCGACGATACGGCGAGCACCTGTGCTATCTCTCTCCCAACCATGAACAAATCACGGAATTATTGCGATCTCCCGTCTCCAGCGGCCTTCCTATGACCACGGCTTGCCACTCAGCCTCAGATCCAATGTTGGCCTTGTTGAAAGGCTTCTTCGACTTTTTCAAGAAAATCCGGGCAGGTAAGTGAAGAGTGAGGACAATGGTAGAGGGTTGACGGCTGACAGCGAGGGCAGGACAGCATCCGGTTCTCGGCAAGTACGTAGCTTTGGTCGGGGAAGAGTTGAGCATCGAATCTTAAGAGCAACATTTGGATGTTCAAAATCGAATACAATGGTGAAACCTATGCGACACCAGATTAGCCATGACCTTTGCGAGTGTATGAATGACTTCGCATGGAGCTAAAACCATCTACCTCGTGTAAGTATCAAGACAGCATTTTCATGCTGAGGCCAGACGTTTCTCACCTGCCCAGATGGTCTCCTACCATTTTGACAACTGGCAGTTGTAGCTCTGGATGATTCTATGGCAGGAATGATGAAGGCGGACACGAGTTTAAGGTCTAGCCAGCAGTCGCAAATCGGAGAAATCTTGTCGGCGAATCTCCACAACTAGTTACTCCGTCTGCTAAAGAGGCTTTGCTTAATCAGCGCTTAGCGTTTGTTGATTAACCATTTCAAGCTAATTGCCAGCCTTATTCTCCGCCGTCTGCCAGCCTTATCCTTTGCCGCATGCCGGCCTTATCCTTCCCTGCATGCATTGAACAATCAACACCAACACAATCATCGCGAGAAAAAAGTGCCGCAAAGTTACCGCAGCTACTACCACAGGCGCCAAAGAAACAGTCGAATATGGTTCAAGTTCTTTCGCGATGGCGCCCCGTCTTTCACTGCATATCCAATCATAGCTGGCTAAACGACCCTTGCGCTCCTGGCTATGATCCTACTACAGACACATATCATCTTGCATTCCAGTGGAACCCTAATGGTGCTCAGTGGGCAGGTACGCGGTGTTCTACTCTATTTCTCTACTCATTACTAACATCCAGCTAGATATGGCATGGGGCAAGTCGACATCCACAGATGTAGTGTCCTGGAAAACCTCCACAAAGCCTTGCCTTGACCGCGACACGCCCTATGACAAACTTGGAGTCTTCACGGGGTGCTTCCGGGCAACCGGCATCAACGGAGCTGCCGACGGTACTTTGACATACCTCTACACAGCAGTCAGCAAGCTTCCGATCCACCACTCTCTGCCCTACAACTATGGCAGCGAGACTCTTGCGATAGCGACTTCAAAAGACGGCGGGAACACGTGGACGAAACTCGAAAGCAATCCCATCCTGCCGGGCCCACCAAGCGAAATCAACGTCACCGGCTGGAGGGATCCCTACGTCTGTACATGGCCGTCCCTCAGCAAAGCACTTAACGGCTCCGAGGAAGCGCTCTACGGCATCATCTCTGGGGGCGTCGTCGGCAAAGGCCCCACCAGCTTCGTCTACTCGGTCGACCGCAGCGACCTGACTCAATGGCGATTTCTGGGCCCAGCAATCGACGTGGGGCTGAACTTCTCTCCGTCGCGCTGGACCGGGGATCAGGGCGTAAACTGGGAGGTGACGAACTTCATGACGCTGGCCAACGAGTCGCGGAGCCGGACGCAGGATTTTTTGATTTTCGGCGCCGAAGACTGCAGGGCGCGATATGCGCAGGAGGGCAGCCTGCGCCCGAACCGGGGCCAGCTTTGGTTGGCGGCTGATGTGCGTCCTCAGGACGGAAGCGCGCCGTCTGCGCCATTTTTGGAGTACCGTTATGGCGGCGTCTTCGATCATGGCCTTTGTTATGCTGCTAATGGCTTTTACGACCCCAAGACGGAGCAACAGATTGTTTTTGGCTGGGTCACGGAGGATGATCTCCCTGTTGACTTGCAGATAGAACAGAATTGGAGCGGCTGTTTAAGTTTGCCGCGCGTTGTGAGCCTCATGACAATCGACAATGTCGTGAGAGCGCGCGCTTCGGAACTGGAAAGCATCACTTCTATCAACGCGGAGAGCGGATCTAATGGCACAAAGACCGTATCGACTATGAGGATATCTCCCGACAAGCGTCTGGAAGCTTTGCGCGGTGCTGCAAAGAAGGAGGAGCTCTCACAAGTCTCGCTGGGACCGGTCAAGGAGGGACAGCTACAGCTACCTCTGCTAACGTCGAGATGGGAACTTGAAGCCGAGTTCGCCGTGTCGAATCACTGTCAGAACGTCGGGATTGTCATTCATCACTCCAAAGGTACAGAAACCCTTCAATTCGTAGGATCTCACTAATTCTGTACAGACCTCGACATGCAGACGCGTCTCTACTGGTCTCCTTCGTCGGAAGACTTCATCATCGAACGCCCTAACCTGACCATATCCAAGCGAACAATCCAGTTCCAGAAGGAGAGTGCGCCGCACACGCTCTTCACGGTGCGCTCGGCCGGCGGCGAAATGGAAGAGAAGCTGCGCGTGCACGCATTCTATGACGGGAGCGTATTGGAGGTGTACGTGAACGAGCGAACCGTTATCACCACTCGGGTCTACACGCTCGAGGAGCGCTGCTTCGGGCTTGGCTTCTTTGCCGAGGAGGCAGATGGTGCGCAGGGTGTGCCTGCGACTTTGACCAAGGCTACGGTTTGGGACGGGCTCGTTGCGGAGTAGATAGATGATAGACGTACTTAATAAAGCAGCATAATTTCTTCAGTCGCGGATAATTTGCACGTCTTTAGCTATAGTCAACCCCGCATAATGCCTGATCTGCATGGGTATGTGAATCAACTTTACACCTTCAACCTCAGGCTTTCGTACCCTTACAAGTGCTTTCGTATCTTCGCATGTTATGTATTTCTGTAAATATAAACACCACTCCGTTCCTTCGCGCGTCAAGTGTAGCTGTCTGGACAATGGATCTGTCAGTATGGCCGACCCAAAAAAAAAAAAAAAACATCAGGCAACCAAAGCAAACAATACCCCACGAAGAAGTGAGCAAATAGTCCGGCGGCAAGTCACGAACGAATAATTCTCCGTTGCAACGGGCAACAAGAGCAGTCGTGGCCTCCGGCACGTCCAGCAGCGGAAGCGAAGCGGGGGATTGGGTGGGCACCTAAGAGACCCTGGCACGGGGTGGCGTTAGGGCGCGGGCGGACACAAGTTAGCTCGAGCAGGCAGTGAAGGATCAGTTTCGCCGCTCGGCACGGCAGGGACCGGGTCTCCTGAGATGTCGCCGCGCCACGGCTGGCGCGCGGTTTCTCTAGAGTCCGTTGCTCTCCGCACTCCACCTCCGCTTCCTTCCTCCCCCATAACCACGCCCCAGATTCTGGGGGATTGCTCTGTCTGCTTCGGCGAATCTAGGTGCCCACGTGCCCGTGGTGTGCTGGGCGCACGTTCTGAGCTTCAATGCCGCGACGTCCTGTGTGTGCCTTATAGACTGTGTCTTTGCTGCGGCGGTGTCTTGTTTTTGTCCATCATCAGCCATCTCAGCTTCTCGGCTTCAATTTCCTATCTTCATCTTGTCCATCGCTTCGTCGAGCAAATCATCGGTTCCACATCATGTCCAAAGAAAAGGACGAGAGCGTGGAAACCATGGAGAAGGCTCACGTCGACGTCGTCCATGATGAAGATCCTCATAAAGAAGTTCCCATCACTGCGTCAGGGCAATCTGCTGTCAACCCCTTCCTCTTCTTCACCTGCGCAACTTTCGCCGCTGCTTCGTTCCTCTTCGGTTTCGACGACAAAGTGATTTCCCCCATCATCGCCCTCCAGCCATTTGTAAGTCCATCATCCCAGCAGTGACATGATCAGACGCTGACACTTCTCAGGTCGATCATTACCAAGGCCTCAACCCCACAACACACAAGCTCGTCTTCACGGCCAAAAACCAGAACTTGCTTTTCGCGGTCCCTCTCGTCGGATCCATCCTGGGCGCCATAGCTGCCTATCCCCTCAACAACAACCTCGGTCGGAAATGGACACTCGTCTCTGCATATGCCTTCTCGATCGGAGGGTGCTTCCTGCAGCTCTTCTCTCCCAACCTGGCCGCCTTCATCGCCGGTCGCTTCTGGGTCGCGTTCGTCATGGGCATCGCCAACTCGACCGCGCCGCTCTACCTCTCTGAAGCCGTTCCCGTCGCCATCCGAGGCCGTGTCGTCTCTTGCATCAACATCATGAACCTCTTCTCCGGCGTCATTGCCACCTTGGTCGTCTACGGCACGCACACTCGCACCGATTCGCTTTCCTACAAGATACCCTTGGCCGTGCAGTGCGTCTTGCCTGTGCTTCTCATTCCAATCACTGCCGTCCTTCCCGAAAGCCCGCAGTGGTTGATTGGAAAAGATCGCATGGAGGAGGCACGAGCGAGTCTGCGCAAGCTCCGCGGCTTCAGTGATGCCGAAGTCGACGAGGAACTGCGCGTTATGCGTCTGTGTGAGGAGACCGAGCGGTCAGTCTCTACCGAGGTCAGCTTCTGGCACATCTTCGACAAGTCTCAAATCAAGCGCACCATCACCGCCGGGTCCTTCTTCTCTTTCAACCAGCTGTCCGGTATCTTTCTCTCCACCACGTATGCCACCGTCTTCCTGGTCGAGATCAACGTGGCCAACGAGTTTGCCCTTACGATCATCGCCTCTTGCTGCACGCTTGCCGGAACAATCGCCGCGCCCTTCCTCATCGAGCGGCTGGGCCGTCGTCCACTCGCATTCACCGGCATGGCCGCCATGCTCGCACTCAACGCCGTGGCAGGCGGGCTGGCCTTCGACATGGGGAACCGGCAAGCAGTGCTGGGCATCGCAGCGGCATCCTTCATGTTCAACTTCTTCTGGGGCGCGTCCTTCTTCCCGCTGTCGAACGTCATGCCATCGGAGATCCCGACCGTCAAGCTCCGCAGCTTCACCATGACGTGGACGATTGCCTGGGCGCAGACGACCGCCGTCATCACCACCATCGTCGTGCCCCAGCTGACCGCGGCAGATGGTGCCGGCCTCGGCGCGAAAACCTACCTCGTGTTCGCTGGCTTCATGGTAGCCATCATCATCTTTGTCTACTTCCTCATGCCTGAGACAAGAAATAGAACTTTTGCAGAGATCGACGAGATGTACGAGGCTAAGATCCCCATGTGGAGATGGCGATCTTATAAGACGTCGACGGATGCTAAGAGCACGTCGATCGCGAACATGACTGAGCAGTTGACGGCATAGACGTGTCTTTGGGACATGGCGCAATAGGCGGAGATTTTGGTAGTAGAATCAGTGCAGCTTCTTATATGGCGTTAGCTGTTTTATTATGTGTAATGTGAGGATGGAAATGTATTATGCTGGTTAGGATTTTAGTAGGCTGGATGAAGTGAACACACACAATCCTTCGTTGCTTAAATCATATATGCAGGGGAGTGCATCCTCTGAAATGCATCGCCAATCAAGCCACTCGTGATAAGAAGAGGAAGAGGAAAAGCCGTATCAAGTGCCGCGGCATCTTCGGAACAAGAGCGTCGAATTAGAGTTTCCATGGGCTCAACAAGCTTCTTCTGACGTCAGCATACCTTAACGGCAGGCACACGAGACGCGCAAACGCGCGTCGAAAGGCGTGACGGAAGGCGCGTTGGAAGGCGCGTCGGAAGGTGCGATCCATTGGAAGGCATATCGAAAGCACCACGCCATCTCACCCTATCCTCGCCGCACGCAGCCCGCTTCACACCACATCTCACCTGACAGAGCTGCACTGAACGCAGCAGTCCCAACAGCGCTAACCTTTCGCGAAAGGCTAGCTAGCTCTTGCGATAAGAAGCCCTGTCCCGCTCCTCCGTCGCTGCTGAGCGCTCGCTCTCTCGGCTTGGTCTGCTTCTATGGTGTTCGCGTTAAGGGTGTTGTTGACGAAACGCCCATTGGATCCGTTTCCAGTGGAACAGTACGACACTGCGCCGTCGCCTCTGTCCCTCCTCCGCCTCCACCTCCGTTGCGAGAGCCGACGAAGAAGGAGCGGCAGCAGGAGGCTGCCGAGAAGGAAATGAGCGAGATGAGGGCGGAGAAGGGGAGAGGAACCCGCGTGCATAGGAGAGAGCGGCAGCGACAAGACGCAAGGAAAGCAGAGGCTCGAAAGCAGACAAAGAGACAAAGAAGCGAAGAGACAGGAGTAATCCGTACCTACCTAGGCAGCAAAGAAAAGAGGTCAGTACTACTAGATCCCAGCTGCTTGCTACCAAACGGCCCATGACCCATGTGTGTGCCTAGAGAGTCGATCCAACACTCCCAGGAAAAAATATTGTTGTGTAAAGATAGTGTTTCAGTACGTAGTACGGACATGGATATACAGACCTACAGCAAATGCATGCGAAATGACCACCGGATACCCACCTAGATACTAGGTACTTCCGCACCATGAAGACCAAGCCCCATGTTCATTCACACTTCTTTTGTTCTTACGGCATAGGTAGAGCATAGGTAGCATGCACGCCGCCAACCTCCTACCTACATAGGTATCACACACCATCCTACACACCACCCCAAGGACGCAACCCCCGCGAGCAGCACAGAGTGAGTGATGGGTACCGCGGAATTCTCGGTTCTGACACATTCCACGCTGCGGCTACTGGCTAGGTACCGTAGGAGAACATCCCACGCCACACACCACACACCCCCCTCCCCCTCCCCCGCCGCAAAAAGGGAGGGCGTCGCAACAAAGCGCGAAAGCGCGACCCGAAGCCAAGGGAAGCGAACAGAACAGAACACGCGCAGCACGCCAGAGGGGAAGAAGGCTGGCTGGTTGCGGACGAGGTTGGGATGGGTGGATGGTTGCGGCGGGTGTGGCGCCGTGGCGCGCGGTTGGTGGTGGTTTGGTACTGTGCGGCCTGACGGCCTGATGGGAGGGTTAGGCTATGTACACCCCTCAATGCATGGGCGTCGGGTTTGATGTAATCTAGCGTGTCTGGGTGAAAGTGTAGGCTGTGAAGACTAAAGAGAGAGGGAGAGACGCGTATGAGGAGGCGCGGGGTTGCGTTGGGGGCGAAGGCTGGTGGTGGAGGCTGGCGATAAGTTTAAAGAAGAGACACAACACCACGCCACGAGAGGCTGAGTGCCAGCCTGCCAGCCTGCCAGCCTGCCTCGCACAGCAGGAGCAGCGGCAGCCGTACGTACGTGACACTTTTCTTCTATTGTAGGTAGGTAGGTACCTACACCAACACCAGCAATAAGCAACTTCGTCGCACAACACAGCCCGCAGCTGCTGCAGCGCAATGCGCAATGCCTTGCAGAATGCCTTGCAGCGCGCCCCTTCAGCTGGGCTCCCGCTCCCCTCACTCCCGCCCTGCCCCCTCCCCCCGGGGCCTCGCAGCTCAGGGCCTTGCAGCCTAGGCAACGCGTCGCACGGAATCGAGGCCGCGTCGCTGCTGCAGTCGACGTCAGGTGCCTCGTTTCAGCGTTACCTCGGAGGACGGGCACACGACAGCAGGACGGCAGGCAGGCAGGCAGGCAGGTGTGTGCGTGCACACACACACGGGCGACGGGCGACTGGCGACTGGCGACGAGCGAGCGTCACTCCGGCGTCACTTTCGTCACGTCTTTTCGGCCGGTCGGGCGAAGAGACCGACGCTCAGCGCCACGCACGGCCTGACGGGGCCTCGGCGGCAGCGGCAGCGGCTCGTGTTCGAACGATTCGAGAAGGACGAGGGCGAGGACAACGCAGCAGGAAGTGGAGCCCGTCGCTGCAGGCGGCGGGTTCGCGGCGCCGCGGCGCGTGGTCCAGAACTGGCAGGGTTGGTTGAGGAGATCTCGGACCAGCGACCCCACCCAAAGCGATGCGGCGAAGCCAACCAGCGGTAACTAGGAGTGCGAAAAGTGGTTAAATATAGTTAGAGAGAGAGAGAGAGACTGAGAGAGCGCGCGCGTGCAGCGGGGTCAAAGTGGGATGGGCGATGGGCGATGGCGCGGCTCAGCAAGAGCAAGCGAGAGCAAAGCGGCTGCGGCGCTGCAGATAGCTCGCAGGAGCGATCGTTGCCGATTGCGGGTGTTTGATCGTCGTGCGCCCGCCCGTTGCACGGCCTTAGCCGCAGACCCTTCCCGGCGTTACCACAGCAAGAGGGTTAGCCCCGCATCGAGCGCCCGTGGGTTGTGCCTGCGCTTGACCGGCCCAGATTCTGGTGGTAACCATGAGACAGGAACGAGGAATGGGGAGAGGGAGAGAGTGTTTAACTCTCCCGTCTCAGCCTGCCTGCCTGTCTGTCTGCCTTACAGATCATCAACCTCCCACAGCCTCGTCAACAAAGACCGGCTCCCTGGGACACCGCACCTCTCTTTCTTCTTCGCTCTCGACACTTCATCATCCCGTCACTCCGCTTCCCCAGTCTCTACCACGCTTTTGTTTCGTCTGGTCCTCGTACCTTACCTACATACATACTCGCATGAAGCAAGCAGAACACCCTCATACCTGAACAACCTCCACAACAACAAAACACCACAACCACCACCATCATGAGCCGCCGCTGGAACCAACACGACGGCGACTCGAACCGTCTGCCCGAGGGCATGGTGTGCACCGGCTACGACGCCGACACGCAAAAATACCACTACCGGGACCGCGACGGGCAGGGCTGGGAGAGCCAGTCTGGGAACCGATACGGGCCGCTGAAGCGAGGTAAGTGTTGAACTGCACTCGGATCTGCACAATCAATCAATCCATCCATCCGCTGTTGTTATTGTTATTGTCGCCCGATGTTTTGGTCGCGCAACCAGTCGCGTTCCAGCGCGGGATCAGCAATAGCAACCCCGCAATATCGACTTGAGCCTCATCACCGTGTCTCACATGGGCCAACGCCAACGCCACACCAGCACAAAGCCGCCATCAAGCAAGCAAGCTAACGCCCGCGCTGCAGTGACGCCCCTAGCCTGGAACGGCGGCCCCCTCCTCCGACACACCGTCACGCCGACGACGAGCAGCAGCCACCGCGCGTCTGCCCGCAACAACAACGGCCACGGGCCCCGAGGCGCGCGCCCGCTGCCGCCGCGCAGCTTCGCCGACATCTTGGGCGAGGAGCGCAAGGCGGGCGGGAGCCCGGATCGCCGCGAGTCGGACGCTAGTGCGGGGACGAGGATGAGTGGCAGCACGCTTAGTAGTGGTGCGAGTGTGAGGAGTGGCAGCTCCTGGACCAGCTCGATTAGGGTGAGTGCTGCTTTTTTGGTTTCTTGTTCTTTTATTCCCGATGCAGACGAAACACCATACACCAATGGCGGAGGGAGGCGTGGTACCGTCACTGACGCCACACACCTCTCCCTCTCCCACCCATCACAAACCCCAACCCCAAACCCGTCACAACCCCAGAACAAAACCCAAAAAACTAGAAACCACGCTAACGCCACCCGAACCACAGTCCCCCCTCTCGAACCTCAAGAACCTCTTCCGCAAGCGACCGGCACCAGTACACAGTCCTTCCTCTCACTCTCACCCGAACCCACACCGTGGCATCAACGCGCATCCCAACCCCTCACGCCGCGGCCCGCGCTCCCTATCGTCCGTGTCGACGTACGTGGACGACACGGCTGATGATGATGCGACGCCGGTGCTGAAGAAGGAGTTTTTGTAGCGTGTTTGCGTGCACGCTACACGGTCTTTTTCTTTTTTCTTTGACGGTCGTTTCTTTACTGTCGTTTCTTTCTTTTTGATGTATTATGGCTTTGGTTCGGGCGAATGAGGGATGCGATGAGATGGGTGCGATGGGGTGGGTAGTAAGTTTGTATTGTCGTCGTTGGAGGATTTTGTCTTTCTTTTTTCCTTTTTTTCCTTTTTTTTTTTTTTTCCCGTTTCCCTTTTCCTTTCCTTTTCATGTCTGTTTGTTTCTTTCGTTGTTCGCATGTATATACCCAGTATGGCACGTCACAGCACGGCACGGCACGGCGCCGAGGGGGGGAGAGAGAGATGGATTAGTTTGGCTGGGGGAAGGCAAGTGATGGATGGGGAAGGAAGATTGGGGTTGGGGTTGGAGCGGAGCTGGAGATGGAGGAGCTGGTATGGAATAGGGGAAGGGCAGGAAGGGCTTAGTTAGGTACGCTTTACGCTACGCTATGCTACGCTATAGGCACGTTGTTACGCATGTACTACCTACACTTCTTACTTATCGTTGTTTTTGGTTTATCGTTGGGAGTTAGGTTTACTTTCGTTGGCTAGTTAGTTTGTTCGCATGTGTGTTTGTGTGTTTGGGTTATGTAAAGAGAGCAAGTAGTTAAAATAAGTAAATAAGTAAGTCAAGGACGCGGTAAAGCGAGGGTATTATTTTCCTAGTTTTCACTTCTTCTCTTTTCTTCCCCCAGCAACAACAAAAACACCTAGATATTTAAAATAGATACCTAATCGATAGATATAGTACGACGAGCTAATATAAGCTTCTTGTCTATATCTATACCTACTATATCCTAAGAGAATCTACGTACCGTACCTCTTAAGACGGACGGTATGATGTAATATACTATGAGCGAGGCGATATAGATGGGGTAGAATAGTAGTTAAGATAAAACAAAAGGTAAATGCATGCATTGCTACACCCGCCCCTCCATCCATCCAAGTCATGATACACTTATGTAACATATACAACAAGATAAGCAACAAAAAAGAGGAAAAGTAAAAAGTAAGAAACGGCTTTGATGGGTGCGTGCGTGCGTGGGCGTGCGTGGTCTGGTTGGTATAGTCACCATCCATCCCACTTCACCACATCCACCCACCACAAACCCCACCTACCCGTCCAAAAAACGAAATGGTTTTATCTACTCCCGACCACTCACACACATGCCCCTCCCCATCAAACCCCAAAAATACCCCACATCTACACATCCAACGGAATACCATCGTACTCGCCATAGCCCAGCGCCAAGTTCATATTCTGCAGACACTGCGTGGCGGCACCCTTGAGCAAGTTATCAATCGTCGCGTTCACAACAACCCGCTTGCCCGAGCTATGCACGGCAAAGCCGCCGACCTCGACGCCGTGGCGCCCGCTAATGTTCTTGACCAGCGGGCTCTCGCCTACCACCTTGATCAGCTTCTCGCCGGCGTAGCGGTCCTGGTAGAGCTGGCGGATGTCGCGCGCCTTCATTTCCTGCTTGAGCGGGATGTTGATCGTGTGCTGTGCTAGTATTAGCCGTCGAGTTTCTCAAAACACCTTCATGTCGACTTACGTGAATCCCCTGGAACCACACTGCCACGTGCGGGATGAAGCCCACCGCCGTCTTCAGCTGGTCCGAAATCTCACGCTCGTGGATGTGGTCCGTCAAGCTGTACGGAATCAGGTTGTTGGTCAGATTCTGCACGTCGTTCTTGGGGCTGGGCTTGGTGCCGGCGCCCGAGTAGCCCGAGACACCGAAAACCGTCGGCTGCCCGCCGCCGATAAAGTCGACCAGCGGCGCAATGCCAATCTGCGCCGCCGTGGCATAGCAGCCCGGGTTGGCGATGCGCGTGGCGTTGGCAATCTTGGAGCGGTCAATCAGCTCCGGCAGCCCGTACGTCCACTTCGAGTCGAAGCGGTAGTCGGCCGACAGGTCCACTATCACCGTCTCCGGGTTGCCGACCTCGTCAATCGCGTCCACAAACGGCTTGCACACGCCGTTGGGCATGGCCATGACCCAGCAGTCCACCTCGCCCTTCTCCGCCATCTTGCGCACGTCGTCCGGCGACAGGTTCTCGTACGTAATCTCGCGCTTGCTGTAGCCCTGCAGCTTCTTGCCCGCGAGCTCGCGCGACGAAACGTGGCGCAGATCCATGTTGGGGTGGTTGTTCATCAAGTCAATCAGAGCCTGACCAGTGTAGCCGCGGGCACCAATCAAAGCGACCTTGGAGGGCCAGTCCTTGCTCTTGTACTTGATGCCGTACGGAGGGTTGGGGTTGGTCGTGGTGGCGTAGCCGCGGGTGGAGCGGGGGAGAGCAGCCGTCACACGGCCCATGGGCGAGGTCTGCGAAGAGAGAGTGCGCATGGTGGAGTAGGAGCGGGTCTGCGAGTTCTGAGCAGCGCGGGCGCGGAGGCCTTCAGCGTACTTGGCGGCACGGTCGAGCTGAGACTCGAGGTTGATGTCACCAAACATAGAGCGGCCGTGCTGCTTGAACTCGAGCATCAGCTGGCGGACCTCGTCAAGGTCGGTGATGCCGTGCCAGAACAGGACCTCGTCGCTGTGGCGGAGAGTACCGTCGGCGCGCTCAGAGAACCAAGGCAGGTTCTCGTCGTGCGTGTCAACGGTCCACATAAGACGAGGGAAGTCGCTCTGCAGGTGAGTGAAGATATTGCCGGCGAGGTTGGTCAACCAGCCGGGCTTGGTGACGGTGAAGGTGGCCAGGTGCGCAGTCTTGCTCGACTCGCTGGGAGGGTGGACAATGGCGAGCGCCTCCATCTTCTCATCAAAGTAAGCCTTGAACGGGCGCTTGGACAGGCTCTGGATGTAACGGTCGACAACAGCCTCGGCATCAAGACCCTTGCGGTCACGGATCAGAACCTCCTTCAGCTTGGCGAGATCGGGAAACTCAGTGATCTGCGACGCAGTCTGGAGCTTGTCGCCCCTCCTGATCAGAGTACCGGCGCCAGAGTCGGTGAAAAGCTCCTTCTCGAGGAAAGAAGGATGGATAATGGCGACAGAGGAAGACTTGGGCAGGTCGTCAAGCAGCTTCTTCATCTCCTTAATCTTCAGCTTGGTGCCGTGCTTGACCCAGGGCTGCGCCATCAGGTGATCGTACTCCTCGTCCAGGTTGATGGACGAAATCATCTCGTTGGTGCTGGCGTTCCATAGACCGCCCTTCTCCGAGAGATAGACAATCTTCAATGGCTCAAGCGCGCGAGCCAGCTCGCCGGCAGCAACGTCGGCATTGACGTTGAGGACCTGGCCCTCCTCCGTCTCGGCCATAGAGGTCAAAACGGGCAGCTCCTTGGCCTCAATGGCAGCCTCAATGGGCTTGGGGTTAACCTGAGTGATCTGACCGACCAGCTTCCACTTCTCCTTGTCCAAGTAATCGGCGGTCAAGACGCCCGCGGTGATGGGACGAGCGCGCACGCCCTCGGCCCACAGCGCCGAAACCAGCTTCATGTTCTCCTCGAGGAAGAGCTTGCGGGCAATGCCCAGAGTCTTCGCATCGGTGACGCGAATACCCTCCTCAAACTCGGGCTCGACACCCGCCGCCTCAATCAACTTGTTCAATTGCGGACCGGCACCATGGACAATGACAGGATACAAGCCCATGGTGGTCAGGTTGCGCAGAGCGGTGCACAGTGCGTCCAGGTGATCCGTCAGGATGGCGCCGCCGACTTTGATGACGGCGAATTGCTGCGACTGAACGGAGCTGAATTGCGCCAGGTACTGCTGGATCTCGCGCTTGGAACCAACATCCTTTAGAATCTTCATGATGGCGGTGCGCGCGCCCTCCTGCCGACTCTCAGATGAGGTAGTGTAGCGCTTCGCACATGGCTGCAGCAGACCGGCCGAGGCGCGCGGTATCGAGGATCTGGCGACTCGGCGGAGGGCGGACCTGGACACGGCCGCGGCCGCGGCTCGGGTGCGGAGAGGGTACATGGTGGAGGGTAGGGACCGATGCTTTCAAAGAGAACTGATGAGCAAGACGTTAGCTTTTTATCTGATCTGACGCATCTGGGCGGCGGTGGTGCCGTTTGACGAACCGGGCTCGCTGGCAGGCCGAAGGAGAGAAGTCTGGGGTCAATTAACGCCTCTCAGCCAAAGGGGAAGAAGAGCATGAAAGCTGGCGGCGCTTGAGGGAGCTAGGCGACGCAAGAGGGTGACCTGGAGGTGTTGGTAGATTGGGGGTTGGGATTTTCCCTCGTGCCTCTGCCCGATAGCGGACGGCGGACATAATTCGATTAACAAATGGGGTAGGCCTCGCGTTTTCTTCGGGCATTTATCGTCCAGCGGCCAGGGCCTCCTCTCTGATGATCGCGGCACAAACAGCATCTTTTTATATCGAATTTACCCATCGATGTCGGGCACCGGCAAGTCACGGTGGTCTTACGAGAAGCGGGCGGCAACGTCTTACCTCCCTTGTTCGTACAGCGCTTCGCGCGCGGTAAAAAAAAATCCCATTTGCAAAAGCTTACAGCCCTCGACTCAAACTCACAAGCATGGACATGGTCAGCATCATCATCCTTCCCGGCAACCTGGCTCTCTGTTAATCCATGCACCCTGTCGATCAAAACACATCACAAAAAGTCTATAGTTAAAAAAGGGCCAGCCATTCGATCGTCGATTGACGTAGTAGTGTTTGGTTATCATGAGAGAACATCAATTATTACAAGCCGGGACCGCATGCAGCAAGAAAGAACCCCATCGCTCCATATTCGCCAAGTACGTGAAAGGTTGCGCTCCAAGGGTCGTGAAAGAGCCTCAGTGCATTGCGTCATGACACTCATGTCTCGCAAATGGGTGCGTTTCAGGTCATGGGCTGCATCTGTTTAATGCTTGGTGGCAACCACTGCGCTCCGTTAGTACCGCCAATAAGCGAGGACAGACCGAGACCTACCGGACGGGACGATGATGATGACGAGCAGGATGATGATGCCGACGACCAGGCACATGCGCATCTTCATGTCCTTCCACCACATCTGCTTGCGCACCCTGTTGGCGCCACGGCGGAAGCCTTGTGCGGAGACGGCGAGGTTGTCGGTCTTGTCTTGAAGCGAGTCCAGCCTGGCACCACGCTCAGAGACCTTGTTGATGTTGTCGCGCATGATACCGACGGTGCTGTCGATTTCCTAGAAACTGGTCAGCAAGGAATGGCCCTCGGAATGCGACGGCCAGCGGGTTGGGCGGCCTGCACAGCCTGCGAGCGACCTGCGAGCAACCTGCGAAGCAGCAACTGGCCGCGACACGGACGGCTCGACCGCGAGCTTCGACCATGCGGAATCCCCTTTCTTTGACAGCCTCGCGTGGCGCAGGATAACCAGCTCTTGCTTCCGAGGGATCCCGGGCCGCAGAGAGCCGCTCGTGCCCTCGCATCGAGGGTGCGACAGAAGCCGCGTTGAGGCCTTGTTGCCGGTCGCTCGCGCCGGTCGTAGATGGCTGGCAGTCGCTTTGCTGCAGGTGTGCGGCGTCGCGACAGGCGTGAAGCGGGAGAATAAAGACCTACCGCCTGAAGAGCCGCGGTGCGGTGGTTGCCACCGTTGGCGCCAGCGGCATTGTTGCCTCCGGAGGGAATGTAGGGGTCGTAGGGTTGCTCACGGTCGGCCATGGCTGCGGAAAGTGCGGAGTGAGGATTTCGAGTGGGAGGAGTGTTGTGTCGGTCGCGCGGTCGCGAGGGTTGGTGGTTGCGGTGGAAGGCGAAGCTCTGGAGGTGGGTTGTTCGGGAAGAGTGAGGTGGTTGGCAGGCGAATGCGTCTTTGGGCTAGAAGGGAGAGAGGCTGAGCTCAGAATCCGAGCGATAACTCTGATTCGTGTCCGAAACAGCAACTCTAACGGCTCCTGTCCGCAGTAGGGGGGGTGCTTTGGGGGTCGTGAAAACGTAAAATTGTCGTGAGCAGTACAGTAGAGGAAAGTTGCAGAAAGTTGAGTGCCCAACCGCCAGCACTGCACTCGTCAATGAGCTAGCCAACAAGCAAGCCCGAAGGCTGGTCGGTCACGTGAAGCGGCAGTGCTGCGCGCGCGCCAAAACCCAAGGAACCAAGGATGGGGCCGAGAGGGCCAAGAGGAACTCAGCCACAGTGCATATGCGTCGTCGCGTCGTTGCAGTCACTGTCGTCACTAGGTCGGTATGCCAGACTGTTGAGAATTGGATAGATTCACTTTGTACCTACACTCACTGCGCCGAGTGAGCGTATGACTTACTGCGACGCCCGCCGTTTCCAGTGGTGATGCAACACTGCAGCTCGCGCGCATTCTTTACCGCTTGGCGGGGCCGTAATTTTCGCCCCATCCGGCTTGGCCCCTACTATATTTGTCGGCCAAGATGCTTGTCTCGCCAGCCATCCGCTCGCCGCTGGGGGGCCAAGGAAACCCCAAAGACAGCTGCCGTATTAGATGGGGATACGTCCATGACCGTTACATGCCCCTTGGTTTCTCCCGCTTTCACACCCTCTCTCCCCCATCACGCTCGTTTTCCGACACCTGCCTCCGCAACTATCCTCCGAGACACGACCGGTCCGTTCCCCGGATTTTCGCTCCCGCTCGCTCCACCACCCGCCGCTCCCCAGTTGGTCGACGCAATAACCACCTTTCTCGATCGTCTCGCCCGGCTATCGTCGATCCGGACTCACCAGCCTGTCCGATCGCCTCTGGCGGCGCGAGAGCTGTAGAATTTGTCCTGTGCCTTCAAAGGCGCTCAAGATCGCCACCCGAGCTGAGCTGCCACGCGCGACCTGACGATCATCCATCATCCCTTCACTCGCAAAATGAAGTTCTCTCAAATTGCGAGCACACTGCTGCTCGGCGCATCTGGCGCGGTTGCCATCGACGTCGAATGGACTAATGAACGTAAGTTCCTCGGACCCCGCCATTAAGTTATGAGCTGAGCTGACAGGCCGCCCTAGAGTCGATCAAAACCGGCATGAAGACAGTTGCGACTGACATGGTGTCATACTACACCGGCTACCGGCCAGGCGACGTACCAGGCAACTTGCCAGCTCCATACTACTGGTGGGAGGCTGGCGCCATGTTTGGTGCTCTGATAGATTATTGGTACTATACGGGCGACACCGAATGGAACGCCATCACGACGCAGGCGATGCTGCATCAGATCGGGCCGGACCAGGATTACATGCCGCCGAACCAGTCCAAGTCGCTCGGTAACGATGACCAGGCTTTTTGGGGCATGGCCGCAATGTCAGCGGCAGAGAACCGCTACCCAGACCCACCTGCGGACCAACCGGGCTGGTTGGCGCTCGCCCAGGCCGTCTTCAACGGCCAGACGACCCGCTGGGACAATGAGACTTGCGGCGGCGGTCTCAAGTGGCAGATTTATCCATTCAACAATGGTTACAACTACAAAAACACCATTTCGCAAGGCTGCTTCTTCAACATCGCCGCTCGCCTCGGCCGATACACTGGCAATTCGACTTACACCAAGTGGGCCAGCAAGGCATGGGAGTGGACCCAGGCGGCCGGCTTGATGAGCCAAGATTACCACTTCTACGATGGAACCGACGACAAGCTCAACTGCACTCAACTCAACCACATCCAGTGGACCTACAACGCCGGTGTGTTCTTGTACGGCGCGGCGACCATGTGGAACATTGTAAGTCGAACCCGCACATCCATCCTTCCTCGCTAATAGCCATCAGAGCGCCGAAAATGGCGATGAGCAAGGCATTTGGCGCGAACGCACCGAAGGCATCATCAAAGGCCTCAGCGTCTTCGTATCCAACGAGGCCCAAAATGTCATGACTGAAGTAGCCTGCGAGCCAAACGACAAATGCAACATCGACCAACGCTCCTTCAAAGCTTACCTCTCACGCTGGATGGCGTCAAGCATGAAAGTCGCGCCCTGGACGGCGGACATGCTGCAGCCGATCCTGGAAGCGTCGCGGCAAGCAGCGGTCAAGATCTGCAACGCGGGCGACAACAGCCGGCAATGCGGGCTGCGGTGGTACACGGGGACGAACGACGGCAGCTTCGGCGTGGGCGAGCAGATGAGCGTGCTCGAGGTCATGGGCACAGCGCTGATCCACACGGTTGCCGGGCCGCTGACGAACAAGACGGGCGGGACGAGCCGCGGCGACCCGAACGCGGGGGCGCATAGCGCCAAGGCGCCGATTATCTACGACGAGGTGACGTTGGGCGATAAGGCTGGCGCGGGCATTCTGACGGCCATCATCCTGATCGGCATCTTGGGCGGCGCGTGGTGGATAATTGCGTGAGTGTTGTTGTTGTTGTGTGCGTGGTGCTTGCTTGCTGGGGCTGCTAATGCTGTTGCGATATATCGCTACGCTTGCTTGCACGTAATAATTCACCAAGTTTTCTGTTTTCTTTCTGCTTTCTTTTCGTTACTGTTCTTTCGAGCCCTTTTTCTGACTCTCCTCTCTCCCTCTCTTCCCTTCTCCCTCCTCCGTTAATGCTTGTCTTTTGTTTTATTGGCGCACACGCCGTTCAGAGCGCTTGTTAAGATCAGTCTGACTACGCGCGTGCGCGCTTTTGCAGGGACAAGAGCGATGAGGGCTGGGGCATCAAGCCGCCGCCGCACTTTTAGGGTTTCGGCTCCGTCTTGGGTGGGGGGTTTTGGGTGGTTGATGCTTGCTTGCTTGCTTGCATACGCACTACCACGCTCACACGCGTTGCCGCTCTTCTCATTGGCTTTTCTCTTGGCTCCACTCCACTCTACTCTACTCGGCTCAATTCGGTTCGGTTCAGCTCAGTTCGACTTGACCTGGCTTGGCTTGACTTGACACGACTTGTATTGGCATGGATCCGTAGCACGCACTTGCACATGCACGGGGGCTGGAACTGGGACTGGATCTAGCCCCGGCTTTGGCTTTGGACTTTCGCACGACAGGTGGTGCGTCTTAACTGCTGTCGCTGCTGGAGAGCTTGCTTGCATTTTGCATTTTGCAGCTTGTTTGCTCTCTCTTTCTCTCCCTCGGTTTCTCTCTTGGGTGCGGTATAAGGCGGGGTGTTGGCTGGGCGGACGGAAACGGAAACGGCCCAGAACGGGATGGGATGGGATGGAATGGGTTGGGGTGGAATGGTACGGATTGGTTGGGGTGGAATGGCGTGGTACGGAATGGTGCGGAATGAATTGGGATGGGATGGCGTGCCGGAACTGGACTGGACTGGGCTGAATGAATGCAATACGATGAGATCTTGATTGAGGTTCGTGTGTGTGTGTGTGTGGCTATCGTTGGTGTGATGTTGAAGGCTGGTGCTCACGGTGGTTGGAGAGGGATGGGGTGCTAGGTGCTGGTTTGGAGTATGACTTAATAGTACATTCCGTCTGCATTTAAACTAGGTAGTTAAAGGAATAAACTACTTATCTAGCGGGCTAAAAGGATTTAAAATTTATACTCTAACGGGCATCTAATAGGCGTCGTCTTAGAGAGAATAATTTAGTTAGCAAACTATATATATAACCATAACATACTAAATTGTAAAGAGCGTGGACTATAAAGCAGCAGATTAAAAAAAAATCCTCTTATCTCATACTCTTCCGTTCGCATATTTCTGTCCTCTTCCCTCACCCCATCCCCCAATATCTTCTCACTCATACCCCATAACTTGCGTAACAGGCACATCCTGCACGTCGCCTCTGCACCACTCGGTGGACGAGGATGACGTATGGCAGTACAGGCTCTGGGAAGCCGTGGCGTAGCGGCGGGTGTACTGGGCTCCTATTCCAGGGCTGCGGGGGTGTAGGAGGTAGGAAGTAAGCACAGATGTAATTCATAGTTTTTGTATTGGGGTGGGTTAGCAGGGAGAGGGAGAGATACGACGTACACGTGAGAGAGCCAGCGGTGGGCGAGCTCAATGTCAAACGTGTGGGCGTCGACGTAGTTGGCGATGCTCCAGCTCCAGTCGTCGCCGCTGGACGTGGCGTTTGTGCAGGGGATCTATCGTAGCGCACATGCGCGCAAGGTCAGTCAACATGCATGCTTCCACTCACTGACTGGCCTGCCGCATTCACAACCCAACGACATGAACGGCAAACGAAAGCCCCGGCTCGAGAGAGCAGCGATTAAACTCACTAGGCCATGCGGCCAGCCCTCCCCGTCTTTGTCCCAGCGAGCACTGCACTCGGCAACGCCAGCGTGCCCTTCGACGCCGGCGTCCTGCACACTGAAATGCACCCTGCGGTAGCGATCAAACGGGCGCAAGTTGACCGTGCTCTCCAGGCCGAGAAAGCGCAAGCAGTCGGCAGGGGCGGCGCAAGAAGAGTTAGCCGGGGCCGCGGCCGCGGCCATGGTAGCGGGTGTTAGAAGCGCGAGGAGCGTGGGGGCGCGCACGGTGCGTTAGGATAGGGTAATGCTGTGTACGTGGTGCTCGAGCTCAGGGTGGAGGTAGAGGGAGGAACAGAGGTGACTGAGGATCCAACCAGACAAACACCTGCCCATGTGCCTGGCTTCTCTCGCTCTCCAGCGCACTTGCTCGCCTTTATATACCTCACCCATCATCAGCCAGCACCGCACTTCTTGCCACCAACCCCTCGCAACCCTCGCCTACCTAAGACTTTTTTGCCTCTGCCAGTCCGCATACACGCGCATTCTTCACCAGCATCGAAGCCCGCTTCCCCATCCGGACTATCCCTCCAGCCCACCTGCCGAGCCGAGCCGACCCGTGCCCGCGCATACGAGCTCACTAAGCCGTGCGCAACCCTGGCTACTTCCGTATCCTTCTAGCGTTTATGCGCGCTTTTGCTGCCGCTTCGCCTGCGCGTACTGTTTGCGTAGGGATATGGGTACCGACGGCTTCGTATTGCGTTAGGTAAGAGGTCGTATAGACGTGTTTCCAGCAGGGTTGTCAACCGTCCCGTCGATATTTAGACCGTCCCGTCTAAAACCATATTTATAAGCGTACGGGATAGTTTATCTAATTGATAATTAAAAACGAAAATAGCTTCGTCCTAGCGAAGCCTATTTTAGTCGGACGGTTATCCGCTTAAGCCCCTAATCGCCTTCCTAGAACTTCTAATTACTACCTAACTAGGCTTCTTAGTAGGAGCTCTAAGGTTTTTAGAGGCCATATATAACTTCGCTTAACCTTCTTTTTCCTAATTATAGTATTATTAATTAGCATCGCTCAATATATTTACTATAAGATAGAATATTATTATTAGTAATTAGTACTCTATATTCTCTTTCGTCCGCTTCTATACGGTTTATTCTAGAGATTTTATATACTATATAATATACTATAACGGTATGCAACGGTAGAGGACGGAGTCGGTTAGGGGATAGGGCGATAGGAGTAGTAGTTATAGATAAAAGACTCTACTTCTACTACGTATTCTACTTATAGAGGTTTAGTTTTTTAATATCGGTCTTAATATATATTTTTAGCATGAGGGGAATATAGTAGTTATTAAATAAATAGACTTTACTTTAGATACCTACTCTATTAGAGAGAACCTAGACGTTCGACCTTAGACTTAGCGTAGTATATAGGAGACGAGAAGACCTCACATCAGCTGCTCTTCCGGAAAAAAAGAACGTAGACCCTCGACCCCAAACAACAAACAAGGAAACAAACGCATAAACACCCCGCCAAATCCCTCAGCAAACAGCCGCTCCTTCCCCAGCAGCGTGCTTCCCGTAGCACGTACGGACACGGCGCTCACCATCCCTCGCTAGCGGCAGCTCCGCACGCCTCGTGCACCGGCTACCGAGCGAGCACTCGATCTCGCCGTGGCGGATGATGATTAATAAAGACGCCGGGCGTGTGTTTGGTTATTTTTGTTGTTATGCTGTACGGGGTACGGGTCGTTGAGACAAGCTGAGCTGAGGTGACGTGAGCTGAGGTTAGGTATGTAGCGGATAAAGACGGGTGGAAATAATAGGTGTGTACCTTTCCTTCTAGAACTCCTACCGCCCATCGCAACCCATCGCAAGCACGTCGTCAACGAAACCAACCAAACCAAACCAAGCCAAGGCCGCCCACGGTCATCATCCGTCATCCGCCCAGAAGCGTCCCGCCCCACCCCCGGGTGCCGCAACTAGACTACGACGACGGGACGACGGGACGATGATGACGTCTGCGGGGCACGCTTCCTTCCATCGCGTCCAACCTACACAACACAACCCCTGCCCTGCCCTGCACAACCCATCACCATCACCATCACCACCACACCAACCAACCAACCCCCCAGACCATAACACCAGCTCCAAACAAAGCTTGCTCAACAAGAACCGAACCGAACCTACAGAACAAGAGCGAGGCGAAAACACATCCCTTACTCCCAGCACGACCACGCTCCCCTATGGATACACACACGCCTCCACTTTCATCTCCACCTGACTCAACGTCCTCGCCCACGACTCGCTGTTGCGCTAAACGCACGACTCGGGGCGCCAGTCTATATTGTATACCAAGTTGTAATATGCGCGAGTCGTAGCTCTTAATTGGTTGGTTGGTGCTACCGCATCAAGAGCCTGAGTGAGTCGTTATTACCTAGGATGGCTGGCTGGTTAGGTAGGCTGCACTGCGGTGGTACCGCTTTCCTTCCTCTCCTGTTTGTGCTGTGCTGTGTTGTGCTGTGTGTTGGGTTGTGTTGTTTGTATTCTCTTTCTTTCTCTCAGTCATTCTCTCTCTCTCTTTCGCTTTCACACTCTCTGTGTGTGTTCTGTGCAAGAAAAAAATTCATATACTAAACGACATGTTCGAAGGAAGAACCAAAAGAAGCGCCTCTCGCGCCTGACATTATAGTACACGCCCGGAACCATCGCGCGCTGCGCTGGACCGAGCCTCCACCAACCGCACCGCTCCCTACTCCTTGCTCGCACCCATCCTCATCCCTTACCTAATAACAAAGGCCTTGGGGTTGTGGTCCTCGAGGACCAGCTCCGCGGCGCGCTCGCCAATGCCATAAGCCGGCATTTGGGCTGTCTTGTCGTTAGCTTTTGTCCAACTGCAGCGCCAAAAGAGGGGGGAGGGGAGAACTTACTGTGGCCCTGGTTCAGCAGGGGCATGGAGCTGCAGTCAGCGACGCGCAGGCCCTTGACGCCGCGGACGCGGAGGCGCGCGTCCAGGACGGCCATAGGGTCGCTGTCCTGACCCATCTTGCACGTGCCCGCCGAGTGGTAGCACGTCGTGGCCTGCTCGCGCACATAGGGCGCCCAGTCCTCGCGCGTCTTGAACGTGTGGTGCTTGGCCGTCGGCGGCCACGCGCCCTTGACCACGTCCTTAGTGCCCTTGCCCGACATGACAACCTCGTTGGCCATGGCGCAGCCCTCGGACAGCACCAGCAGGTCCAGCGGGTCCGCCAGGTAGTTGTGGTCGACGACGGGGTTGGCGCGCGCGTCCTTCGAGTCCAGCGTCACCGTGCCGCGCGACCGCGGCGAGAACAGCTCCGTGATGATCGAGAAGGCGTGCTGCCCGTCGCCCGGCGCGTCAATGTACTGCTTCGGTCCTCCGTACAGCTCCGTGTTGAAGAACTCTATGTTCGGCTGGTTCGGCAGCAGGCCCATCGGGTCGCGCTGCTTGCCGCCGATGACGGGGCGCGTGGCCTCGCGCCACTTGCGCGAGTCTTGCAGGCGGTCTTCAATGCGCGCGTATGCAAACGCGCCGAACGGGAACGTCGACAGGAAACCCGTCTTCTTCTCCTTCCACAGCTTGTAGCTCGCCGCTAGGCCGCCCGTGTGGTGCGCGTACTCATCGTTGGTCAGGCCCGGCTTGTCCACCTCGTAGAACGCGAACACGATGGCGTGGTCCATCAGGTTCTTACCCACACCGGGGAGGTCGACCGCCGTCTCGATGCCGACCTTGGTGAGCTCGTCCTTGGCGCCGATGCCCGAGCGCATCAGGATCGCGGGGCTGCAGTAGGCGCCCGCGCTCAGGACGATGTCCTTGGTGGCCTTGACGATGGTCGACTTCTCCGCGTCCTTGACGAAGATCTCGACGCCCGTGGCGACCAGCTCGCCGTCCTTCTTCTCCAGCACCACCTTGTCGACGATGCAGTCGGTCTTGATGGTGATGTTGTCACGCTTCTGGTCCTTGGTGATGAAGTCGGCACCAGTGGTCCTCAGACCTTGGTGGACGGTACGGGGGGCGTGGCCGCAGCCGTTAGCGACGGCGCCTGCATCTATTAGCCCACTGTACACGACACCTTCGAAGTGGGAAGCTTACCAGTGGTGAACATGTCGGCGTTGTAAGGCAGACCCTGGCTTTCAAGAGACTGCATGATGCGCTGGGAAATGGGAGCGAGATCGTGAGGCTCAGTGTGCAGAGGGCCCTTGGTACCGTGCTGCTCCATGGCAGCATCATGCCAGTCCTTGGGGTGGAAAGTCTCGGCCTGACAAAGTTAGCGATCAGTGAGCAGCAACACCAGGAACCAAACTCACCTTGGCGAAGCACCTCCACATGTCCTCGCCCGACCAGCCGGGCAGGCCCCAGTCGTCATAGTCCTGCTTGGTACCACGAATGCACAGAGTGCCGTTCAAGCCACTGCAGCCACCAAGGAACCTACCCCTGCTGTTCTTGACGCGGCGGAAGTTGACGCCGGCGGTGGGCTCGGCGATGATGTTCCAGTCGGTCTCCTTGTCGAAGTTTTGCGACCAGCCGCCAGTCATGTGAACATTCTCGAGGTCCTTGTTGTCGGGGCCGGCCTCGATCACGCAGACCTTTGCGTTGGGGTCCTCAGCCAGACGGCCGGCGACGACGCAACCAGCGGTGCCACCACTGCGAAAGAAAATATGAGTATTGGGGGGCGGGGGCCTGAGTGGCAAGGGGGGAGGGCGGCCTTACCCGCACACGATGTAGTCGTAGGTTTCGAAAGACATGGTGAATGAGAGTCAGTTGGACGTGGTTAAGAGAGTGGAATGCGGAAAAAAAAGAGCGTACCGAAGAAGCGGCTTCCCGGGCAGCCTTTTAAAGGGCGACCACGGATAGTAAAGGATATTTGGAGGTAGATGCAAGCATGAGATCCGATTTGGGGGCCGTCACAGTTGACGAGCGACTGTGCCACTACAGGCAAGACAAATGCGGGGTTGGAGCAGCAATCTACGAGACTCAGTCGCGTAGATTGAGTCGTGATTCTGCCGCAACAACTCGCGTAGGAGCGCGAATCTTGGCCGTCTTGGGCAGGATCCCCCCGCTGCCGCCAGTTTAGGGTCCGCCAACGGAAGGCGGTCCGCTGAAGGATCCGCAATGGCGCGCCTCACCCGAGTTACGCGGCCGGCCTGCGAGCCTCCCGGCTCCCGTCCAAGCGAAAAAGGGCGCATGTGCGTTAGTCAGGCTTGCCAGGGCGGGCGACGGGGCGGACCCCGTAGGGGGTGAATAAGTTGCGATGAGCAGGGCCTGAGCGAGGATATGAGGGGCCAAAAATATCGTGGTCGTCCGGTCGGTCGCCGCATTTTGGGGGCCGCGGGCGGAATTATTCCAGGATTTATACGAGGTGAGTGTTGTGTGTCAGGCAGAGAATGTTGTTGCCTTGTCAGGTGTCGAGATCAGGCAGAGGTTTGGTGCCTGACGTTCGTTCGAATTTTCAGGCAACAATGTCATGTCATGCCTCAGGCATACACCAGCTCCAACTCACGTGCACTTTTTCTGCCTTGCGTTTCCGCCTGAGGCAGCAATCTGCCTTCTGCCTGACATGGACACCTCGACACCTCAGGCATCACTTTTTTTTTCTTCCTCAGGCATCGATTTTTTCCTTCTTCAGGCATCACTTTCTTTCTCAATTTTTCTTCCATTTCCCACTTTCACACGGCCATCTCGCCAACTTGTACACTTCCCATTGGCCATGGGGCTCTGGATCTCGCCTGAGGCTCTGGGATCTCTACCTAGACTGCGGGTCTGCATTCGCGTTCTCTACGTGGTCGTTCTCGCCAGGTGACCGGTGGGTGGTGGGGTGAGGAAGAAAGGTAGGTACGCAGCCCTGCAGGATTCATCCAACACACACTTACAAGGCCCATCCCGGCGCGTCTATCCGCGGGGCCGCGAGTGGCTGACGGGCGAGATTCGGTGGATTCGGCCGATCACACGGGCCTTCCGCTCACCCATTCGTAGAAGATTCCAAGCTTCCAACGGCCTTCGACGACCCACCGGCCTGGCCCTACGACGCACCACGACACCAGGCACGCTGTGAGTTGGCCGGCGGCTGGCAGCCAATGGCCGCTTTGCCATCTGAAGGCTGGGCCTGATCCTCGCCAGGATCGCTGCCCAGTTTGCAGGCGTCTTCGAAACAAAAAATGCGCGTGGCAGCCGGCCGAGTCAGGTTGTGCAGCCGCTGCAGCGCGCCCTCTCCCCACACCACGAAACCCACCGCCGACCTGTGCTGAGCCAGGGTCGCGCGACATCGGGCCAGGAGCGGTGTATGCCGCTGTTTTTTCCTACCTGCCGATAATAAACAATAGGGGCCCTCGCCTTGATGTCATCGTTTTTTCCTAGACACCACATCGTCAACCCCGCCTTCCACCCCGGTGCGACATGCCTTTCGGCTTCCGGAAGCGCCAGACGGCCGCCGCCGACAAAGATGGCACTCCCCAGCCGAGCGAGAAGGCCCACGGAAACAACAAGCGCAAGCTGAGGAAGCGCGACCTGCTGCGCCATCTGTTTGCGCCCTTCCGCGACGCCCTCCAGCCCAAACAGCAACAGCAGGAGCAACCCCCGCACCATGACGACGCCGACCAGAAGCAGTTCCACGACGACGTGTGTATCCTCCTTCCCCGCTGTCTTCAAGAGACCATCTGGCCCTAACCCATGAAGCCACCGCCGCCTCCCCCGCCGCCGCGCAAGTCGCGCATCCCCGAGGCCGTCGGCCGCACTCTCCGCAAGTACAACCGCTCCAAGTCGACCGTCACCGACGAGCAGACGACCCTGCGCGCCACGCCGTCCGTCGAGGAGACGCTCGAAGCGCCGCCCGTCCAGCAGCCCGACGTCGAGCCCAGCGCGGAAAAGCCGCCTGGCGAGGAGCAGAGGGGTACGTGTTTGCCATGCCTCCTGATCTGCTACCCAGCCGCACGGTGGTGGTGGACGGATCACCATCCGCTGGCGACCATCACGTCAGGAGCGGTAGGGGAAACGGGAACAAGGAACACTGCAAGGCTGACACACGATGAATCTGGCAGGCCTGTCCGATGACGAGGTAAAGGCTCTTTTCTCTGGCGCGCCCGTCTTCTCCGTCGAAAAAACCAAAGGTCGTCGCCGGCCCAGCGTCGACTTTCCCTACAACGGCAACCTTGCGGTCCGAGATGTCAGCGATTCCCCCCAGCTCTCCCACGAGGCCTTTTCGGCGGCCACCTTGCGGCCGCACCTCCGGACCGTCGAAGCTCAGGACAGCAAGGCGACGCCGCGCGTGGGGTATGATATTGACGTAGTAGAAGTTCCTAGCATGCTCGGCCTCCAAGCTCACGAACCTGGATGCGTCGGCTTCGAACATTTCCTGGAGATTCCGTATTCGGATAACCTGCGGACCGAGGAGAGAGACGAAATGGAGGCGAGCCGGAATCGTGAAGTTCTGGAGGAGACGCCGGAGAAGCTGGGCATCAAGTGGCTGGATCTACGTTTGATGTACGAAAGACTGAAAGAGCTTGGGCAGTATCACCAGACTTACCAGGAATCGGGAGGAAAGGTTAGCATTTTGGATCACCAGCAGCCCGGAGAACTGTACGCGCATCTTTTCGGCAAGTTTCTTACCCCTCCGAGGTTCGACGGAAGCACGGGAGATCCTACCGGTTTAAAGGTCCAAATCGAGACGTTAATGAGGGTGTTGAGGATTGAGGGAATCTGGCGGGACTTTAGCATTGTGGAGTGGCGGATACGGTTGGGCAAGTTGCTCTGGGAGCCGAGCACGCCGGAAGAGTCGGAGCATGATGCCTATGGGTTCGAGCAGCCATACAGCGAACGGGACATGTTTTTGTTGCAGGTGCTGCTCGCGTCGGAGCTGCTGCTCCGCCTGGACGCCATCTCCGGACTCAGTATGGAAGAGGTCACCAACGGGATCAACCTTACGGCCGCCGAGGTCCGCAACTTTGCCAGCCTTAGGACGAGGAAGACGGACTGGGATCTCGTGCTGGCCAGGCGATTCTTGGAGAACATCGAGGTGCTCGAGGAGACGCCGTCCGTGCCCATGCCACGGAAGAGGGGGTTCTTTTCTGCCCTGAGCGTCAATCGTGGTGAAGAGCATCCCGCCAACCCGGCCGAAACCGAATTCTGGCTGCGCCCGCGCCATCAAGATCGCCAGCTTTCGGGGCTTCTTCATTTTGCGGAAGCGATCGGCTGGCCCAATGTCGAAGAGGTGTCGAGCAGCTTGTCATCGAAGATCCAGTCCCAAGCAACGCCGACGCAGACACCAACGCCAAGCCTCTACCGCACACCGCTGGAATCACCCCTTCCGACGCCGCGGTCCGGGCACCACGCCGGCGGATACTTTGACGATACGTTATGGCGGCCTCAGCTGACTCGAAACAGCACCGGACGGTCCATTGCGCTCCAGGCTGCCTCGCCTCCCGCGGCCCAGGCTCCTCCGCGACGGCCCGCGCTGCTGCGCAAGGACAGCAGCCATCCGAGCTCGAACCACAACAACGGTGGCCCGCCCAATGTTGGTGGCTGGCTGAGCCGCAGCTACCTCACCGGTCTGATCCTGCCCGGCGAGGCCATGTCGCACTTGCTCATCAGCACGCTACTGGAGAACGACAAGCGCGCCATTGCGGCGCTGGGTAACTTTGCGAACCTGTGCGGCGGATTTACGTACGGCGGGAAGAGCTGGTGGAGCAAGGGCAGCGTCATCGGGCGCGTCATGGCGGCCATGGAGGAGGCGAAGGAATGCATGGGCTGGGTCGGCGTGCCCGTCGTGCCCGAGGGGTGCGAGGCGATTTGGGTGGACGTGGCCAGCACGGTGCCGATGCCGACGTGGGCCGAGGAGAGGAAGGTGCGTGGGCGCAGCGACGGCAGGAAAGCCAGAGCGCGCATCGAGGCGGGAGAGCGCATTTCACGCGACTCGAGCTTCACGGCAGGAGGGGGAGGGAAGACGGAGGCGGAGGCGCGCGGGGCCGACTTCATCATCCCGCGCGACGACGAGACGATCCGGCGGCCGGGCGTGCGCTTCAGCCGCTTCGACCTGCACCAGTCGGACCGGCCGTTCTTCCCGCGCGCCGACTCGGACACGGAAGAGGAGTCGGACGCGGGCGCGGGGCCGAGCTACACGGGCGCGCTGACGTTTGAGGTCGAGGAGCAGCTGGAGGACGGCAACACGATTGGCATCGTCGAGACGACGCTGCACCTGACGCACGACGTCTTCTTCGTCGCGGCGCACCCGTGCACGCCGCCGCCCGCGACGGCGGCCGCGCTGAAGCTGGCGCCTGTCGTGTCCGGGCCGCCTGGGACGGCGGGCTCGACGTCGCCGACTTCGCCCTCGAGCCCGTCGAGCCCGTCTAGCCCGTCGGGTAACAATCTGCTGTTGCAGCCGCTGCCGACGCTGTCGCCGCAGTCGTCGCTCCAGCAGACGCAGACGCAGACGCAGAATCAGCAGCTGCAGCCGCCGCGCCTGTCCAAGGACTCGCGCCGCAGCAGCACGGCTGGCACGGGGCCCACGCACAGCAACAGCAACAGCAACAACGGCAGTGGCACAACGCAGAACGGCGCCGCGCCCTCGCCGTCGCCCAGCAGAGTGTCGTCGCGGCGTGCGCCGGCTCATCCACTGCACGCCGGCGCCCGGTACCGCACTGTGGCTGCGGCGGCACTGGCGGCTGGCGCGGCGGGGATTGGCATTGGGATTGGAGCCGGAGAGAGCGCGAGCCTGTTGACTGCGGATGATGATGGGGACGTTGACGGGGATGAGGACGAGGAGAGTGGAGATTCAGGGGAGGGGGTGGGGTGCTGTGATGGGAGATGCAGTGGTGGATGCAGCGGTAGTGGTATGGAGGGGGTAGGCGAGCGCGAGGGCAAGGAGTGCACTGGTGCTGGTGCAGGTGCTGGTGGAAACGCGGGAGCGGGCGGCAGCGGAGCCGGTGGCGCGCTGCTGGTCGTGGATGCGCGCGGCGGCGCCGACCAGGAGGTGCTGGCGCGGGCGTGGTGCGCGCAGCGCGGCGAGCATGCGGTGGTGGCGCGCGTGGGGCGGGCGTGCTTGGCTTGCGCTGTGAGAGAGGCAAGGGCGCTGGGGGTGAGAGTCGTGGTTAGGGTTGGGTAGTTGGGGGTACGAGAGGAGGTTTGAAGGGGAGGGTTGCCTTGCTCTCTTTTTTTTTTTTTTTTTTCTTTTTCTTTCGGGTTCGACGACCTCTTCTGCTAGGACGAGTGGTTTGGTTTGGTTTGGTCCGCGTTGCTTCGTTGCGTTCGCTCGTGGTTGTGGGGGTCTGTTTTTCTTCTTTTCTCTTCTTCTTGTTCCTCCTCTTCTTCTCTTTTTGGTTCGGTTGAGGTCGATGTCGATGGCGAGGTCGTTCGAGGGCGAGAGTGGCAGTAGCGGAATGAGTGGTGGTGGTTTAGGCTGTTCTTCTTCCCACTGTTTCAGTTCCTCCTTTTTTTCTTCCCGTCTTCCCTTCTCTTCATTTCGCTCCGTCTCGTTTCGTTTTCGTTTCTCCTAGCTCTTTCTCCTTCTCTTCCTCTTTCCCATTCGTTCCGTCTCGGTTCGTAAACCTTTACTTCGGATTGGGGGTTTTGTCTGGCTTGTACTTACTTGATAGCGTGGGTTGCGTTTGCATTTGCGTTTGGCTGTTTGTTTGTTGGCTGTCTGTTGGTAGGGTCTTTGTAATGCGATTAGCGGGGGTTCTTGTTTCGTTGTTGTTTGATAGAGGGCTTTTTTTGTTGTTGTTTTTGTTGTTGTTGTTTATCGGTTCGGTGGCTTTGTCGGGTTGTTGTTGGCTTTTGTTTGTATGATTTGTGCGTGTGCGTGTGTGTTGTGTGGTGTTGTTGCGTTGTATAGATTTGGTTGCTTGGTTCGGTAGTGATTTATTGGCTGTTTTGGCTTGCTTGCTTGCTTGCTTGCTTTTTTGTCGTCGTCGTTGCCGTTGCGGATGCGGTGTTTTTTTTTTT